TGCATTCTTCTTTAGATCAAAAGCATGATTTAGTCACCTCTCTGTCCCCAGTCCCTGGCCCAGGTCTCAGCCCAGGTGAGGAGCTCAGTATTTATCGACTAGAAGCTACTAAGTAAAATGTTGGTTGGCTGGAGTGTTTAAACATCAGTCTCCTGACTCCTCTTAGAAAATAGAGGTTTACTGAGTTTTGAGAAAGTGTTAAAAAACAATTTTGTAGCACAATCAGGGGGTCCAATTGTCATTATCTTGCTTTCTCACACTAAGCCAGCTCAAAGATGAACAAAACAGGCAACTTCTATTATCTGACAGAAGTGTTCCAGATTTTTCAGATGAAAAAACAGCTCATAGCTTTTTTGTCTAGCCCACATGGGAACACAGCTGTATAGGAAATTCAAATGAACAACAAAATTCATGCCATAAAGTCTTATGACCCCCCAACACAACTGAGAATCAAATTCTTCTCAAGCAATTTTTGTAGGATTAGCATTTAAACACATTGTGAAGCCCTTCAGTTCCAATACATCTGGAGAAATGAAACCTTGTTTCCAAGAAGTGCTCACAGAGCTTTCAATACATTTTTCTATCACTGCAAAATAAGTTCCACAACTAAACTATGTCTCTGTGGTGAGACCCAGTACTCTCCATATAGCACCAACTAGAAAATGAGCAGACCTGGTGTGCAATCAGGACACAGGGCAGGACTTGACAAGATGCAATTGTGATATAGATTCATAGTAAAGGAGATGGATTCTTTCACTTGGCAGAATTGTCCAAAACTTGCCAGGTCTTGTGGAGTTCAAACTCCAGCCATGACAGCCCTAACTAAGCCAGTTCTCAGAGTTCTATCTTCACTATGGCAACCACTTGGGAGGCCTCCAACTTGCTGAACTGGAGATTCTGAAGGAAAATAGCCCAGAGTAGCTGCATGGTCTGCAGAGTTTTCCATACTTTATTCAAATAGCACCTCATCAGTGAGACCATACAGAATATTCAATGTTGGTTTCGAGATCCTTGTGAATCCCAGTTAAAATGTTTCTATGTATATAACTTCATTTGATCCCCCAACAGGCTTGGCAGTTACTTGGGGCTGGAATCAGAATCTAGTACCTACCACAGTGTCTGGCACATGTTAATAGCTCACTAAATGTTTACGGAATCCATGAACTGTCATCATTTTATAAAGGAAGAAGCAGGTTCAGAGAGGTTTAAATGGTTTCCTAAAAGTGCCCAGTGGCATACAGGGCTAGAATTCTGGCCTTCTGTTAGCCTGTTGCTTCTCCTATTCTGCCATGCTGGCCTTCAAACTCCAACTGAACCAAGGTCAGGAGGACATTTCTCTCATGCTAAATAAACATTCGTTGAGCATATGGCTCATTCATCTTGTTTTCAATGGAACCTCTTAAGCAAGGCTTCCTGATTTGCCTCTTCCACCCTGCCCAACTCCTCATACCCACTACAATCTACCCCATTTCCTATTTGACTTATCCCGACCTTTCATTATTTTATGTTTATGTGTATGTTTATTGACTTCCCTGACTAGAATGTAAGCTTTCTGAGGACAGCGTGCTGATCCAGACTTTCTTCTAATTATAAGATAAGGGTGTGATACAGCTACTGAAACCTAGCCAGTATGGTCTCACGCAAGGCATGTTCAGAGAAGTGTAGAACAATGGACTTCAGGCCTAATGTTCAGAAGATAAGGGAATGGTATTAACCTTAGAACAGAAAGACTCAGGGAAGACATCTTTTCAAACGCCTGAAGACTGCAACACAAAAAAGGAGGGTAGACTTGGCCTAAGTGACCCAGCAGAACAGGGAAATGGGTGGTACTTGCAGGGATTTTGGTTCAAGGTGCACTCATTATTCTGACCACTATTTAATTGTTGGATGCTTACTGTCTTCCTACTAATGTTTAAGTGCTGAGGTTAGTCCCACATCTCTTATTTTTCACTATATGTACACAGCAGACTACATGGTGTCTTTGCCACTCAATGTGTGATTGAAGGAATGTTATGTGAAATAGCAACTATAGGTCACTGTCACTTTGCCAAAAATGCTCCTCATCCTCACTTCCCTTCACCTGACTGGCCCTTAACTTACACTTAAGGTCTGATCTTTTTTTTTTTTTTTTTTTAGTCGTAGTTGGATACGATACTTTTATTTTATTTATTTATTTTTATGTGGTGCTGAGGATCGAACCCAGGGCCTCGCACATGCTAGGCAAGCACTCTACCACTGAGCCACAACCCCAGTCCCAAGGTCTGATCTTAAATATCACTTTATTTGGAAAATCATTCTCAGTTCCTGACAATCCCCTCTCATAGTGTCCCATATTTTTCCATCACAGCATTTATGATTATTGTATTTGAGGTCATTTGTCAAGTACTGAGGGCTGAATTAAAACAAATTATACTCCATGCTTTTATAATTATGTCAAAATGAATCCTAATGTTATGTATAACAAAGAAAATAAATAAAAAATGATCCACATTGCCCTACTGGAAGGTGATCAATACTTCTTGCATGAATGATTCCTAAGAATCCCATGAGCCTGGTGTGGTGACACATGCCTATAATCCCAGCAACTCAGGAGGCTGAGGTAGGAGAATCGCAAGTTCAGATCCAGCTTCAGCAACTTAGTGAGGGCCTAAGCAACTCAGTGAGACACTGTCTCTAAGTAAAATATAAAAAAGGGCTGGGGATGGGGCTGGGGTTGTGGTTCAGCAATAGAGCACTTGCCTAGCACATGTGAGGCATTGGGTTTGATCCTCAGCACCACATAAAAATAAATAAAGGTATTGTGTCCAACTACAACTAAAAAATATATTTAAAAAAGGGGGCTAGGGATATGGCTCAGTGGATAAGCACCCCTGGGTTCAATCCCCAGTACCAAAAAAAGAAAAAAAACATCCCATGATATGGCTGTAACTCCTATAGAATACTCTCCAGCAGAGCTGGGATTGTTATTCAGTTGTCTGTTATTTCTACTGTGAACCATATAAAGAAAGTGTTCAGATGTGTGTAACTCCAATACCTGGGCTTTTTTTTTCTTTTTTCTAAACCAAACTATGTGGACACAAAGCCACTTTTAGAATTGAAAGCTCTGCCATGAAAGATGGCCATTTGTTGAAAAGGTTGGGAGGCAGAATGAAGGAATGCTGCTAGTCAGACTGCCTTGCCCATGGGCTACACAAGACACAGGAGGGCCCCTGGCTAGGAGTGTAAGAACCCTCCTAACCAGGGGAACCTGCGTGAGGCAGACAACATGGCCCCAAGTGGAGGGACAGAGCTGACTTCATGCCTTACCCTGGCCTCGTAACACGAAGGTGGTGGGCAGCAGGCTCGAAATCTGAAACTCCCTTCATTATCCTTCTTGTTATACTAAAAGATGGATTAGCAGAGTCTGTCTTTGGAGCCAGTAGAGGTGAAGATTCTGGACTTTGGAATCAGACTGGATTTAACTAGCTCTGTGACTTAATTAGCCATGTGACAACTATTCTGCACCTCAGTTTCCTCAACTGTGAAATGAGAATAGTGGAATGTACCCTCATGGGAACCACTGGTGGGCATAGTAGTGCACACCTGTAATCTCAGCTCAGGAGGCTGGGGCAGGAGGATGGCAAGTTCAAGGTCACCCTCAGCAACTTAGTAAGGCCTAAGAAACTCCACAAGACCCTGTCTCTAAAATACAAAAGGGGCTGGGGATGTGGCTCAGCGGTAGCACACTTGCCTGGCATGTGAGGCACTGGGTTAGATTCTCATCACCACATATGAATAAATAAAATAAAGGTCTATCATCAACTNCAACTTAGTAAGGCCTAAGAAACTCCACAAGACCCTGTCTCTAAAATACAAAAGGGGCTGGGGATGTGGCTCAGTGGTTAAGCGCAACCGGGTTCAATCCCCTGTACCAAAATAATAATAATAGGGGGCAGGGGCGGGGGCGGGGGCTCAGCGGTAGCACACTTGCCTGGCATGTGAGGCACTGGGTTAGATTCTCATCACCACATATGAATAAATAAAATAAAGGTCTATCATCAACTAAAAAAAAATTTTTTAAACCTAATTAAAAAAATAATAATAGGGGCTAGGGTTGTGGCTCAGTGATAGAATGCTAACCTAGCATGACGAGGCACTGGGTTCAATCCTCAGCACCACATAAATGTAACATAAATATATTGTGTCCACCTAAAAACGAAAAAATAAATATTTTTTAAAAATAATATTAACTACTGTTATTCTCAAATTTATTTTCAAGCCTCCTCCTGCATCATCTTAGTGTTGAACTTCCTGTCAAGAAATTTCTGATCAACTCAAAACATCTATCTTTTCACTTCCTTATGCTCCAGCACTGGGTCAGGTTAACTAATGTGCGGTGAATTATAAAATGTGAGTTGTTTCAAGGAATAAGTCTGTTGTGTGTGAGCCCCCAACCTGTGCCTTTCATTGGGCTATGAGCAAGGAAGCCATAGTGGATGGCAACAAGACACAATGGATGGTGGCTGGGGCCAGTAGCCAGATAGGTAATGATACTGTCAGCAAAGTCTAACTACAAAACATGTCATGTACCAAAAAAAAAAAAAAAAAAAAGAGAGAGAGAGAGATGCATCTTTAACTTGGGGGAAGGAACCTGAAACTGCCTTTCTACCCTAACTGGTTAAAGAATCAACACTCTCCATCTAATAGAAACAACTAACATTTTCATGACATTCTCCATTACTGAGTTAACAGGCCACAAATCAATGTAATGGAATTTGACCACTTTGACTCATATTTCTTAAATGGCCCAACTGTGACCATAAGCAAATACACCCACCCTTATACATAAGCACCAAGAATTTGCCACCCTGTAAGTTAAGTTGTTAGGTTTGTTTTTAAAACATAAGTCTTCCCCCTTTTTCAGTCTGTGTGTGTGTGTGTGTGTGTGTGTGTGTGTGTGTGTAGAAAAATAAATGAAGTCAGCACTCTTTACATCTCACTAGAATAAGCTGTGACTCAAATATGGTGAGTGGTTATTTGCAAGGCTATAATTTCTTTAATGACAGATTTTCCTAAAAGAAACCACTATAACATTTGTCCAAGTACTCCAAGGGAAAACAAAAAAAAAATACATGAAGATTAAAAGTCTATTATTTTAACAGCACATTGCCAAACACAGACAACTAGGATAAATGCCAAGAGACCTTTAAAAATAACTTTAAAAGATGCAACGTTCAAGTCAATCAAACATGTAGGTTCCACAAACAACAGAAAAACAGGTCCAAGAACAGTTCTACTTGTGCATGATGGTAACTCAGACTGTACTTCATCAAAGTTCATCCAGGCGTTTCAATTCAATGGGTGTCTGAGCAGAAATGTTTGCTCTTCTTTGTGTGGAGATGTGTACATAGATTTGAGAAGAAAAATCTTCCAGAGGCTGATGATGTAAGCACAGCAGGCTTGGTTCCCCTTTGATAAAGTACTGAAGGCAGATTTAGTGGACTCAAGCTTTATCAGTTCCCCTAATGAGAAGTCTTATGCATGCTGAAACAGACAAGTTACGGAATTTATCATGCTAAGTATTTACAGCCATGTTCATAAAGTGAGCTCAGTAACCTGACAATAAAAAAGGTAGTTGTTAAATTATTGTATAACCTTTTATAACTTGAATAACTCTGTGGGAAGATGATGCTGACATACAAAGCCCCTCAAACATACATCAACAAGAAATTATTTACTAGACGAAGAGGCACACATCATATAAAACATACACTTCACAGGAGGGGTTCCTGCATAGCAGGAAAGTTGCTACCACTACATAACAAATGGCTATGCCAACAGTCAAGGCTGCCACTAGAGGGTACAATATTAGAATTCCCTTAAAATCTCAAGGAGTGTTTGCAATAGCACAGAACTCTTTTGGAGAATAAGTACATGTTTTGTTTGGATGAATAGTTTTCAGTGGAAAATTTGAACATCATGTACATACATCAATTTTCTAATTGGGTAAGATTTAAGGCAATGCTACTCAGACCTGAGGAAAAAATCCACAAAAGTTTATATTTTTCTTCAGAATTATTAATAGGTCATAATCAACATCAAAAAGTATTCCCCTTTCAAGTATTCATTGTACCTATAAGTAATTTTCAGCATTACAAAATAGAATTCACTTTCATACTATGAATATGAAATGGGAAATTGTTCTGTGCTCTTCCTTGAAAACTGTGGAAAAAAAATACATGGCAGCTTAGGTGTTTAATATTAAAAAGTAATATGACAATGAAGACAACTATACCCACTGCACACAAAGGAGCCTCCTTACAATAAATGCTCCAGAGCATTGCAATTCTCTTATGACTGCCTTTGGTGTAGTATGGGATGTTCATGAATTCATAAATTAACTTTTAACATCAACTACAGACTAACAAATGACAATTAGATACAGTAAGTTTAAAAATTTTACATTTTGCTCCTGTTCGGCTGCTAAAGAGCAGCGATTTAAATTGATATAAAAACTTGTGACAACAAAGCTTGCTATACAGATAAAGTACATAATCAAAAATTAAGCAGCAATTAAATTTCTTATTTAAACTTATCTGGTATAGAATATTTACATATTTGGGAAGAGAGACCTCTAACACCATTTACTCCCTTCTTGCCCTCTGTCCCCTCTCCACCTGCCCCAGCCCCTCCAAATCTAAATCAAGTGCCCTGAACTATATACACCTGTACTTTGGCTAAGCCAGCTGGATGCAACTCCATGGTCTTGGCCTAGAGGAAAAGAAAAAGGTCTTGGAGGTCATTTGCAGCCTTCTTTTGAAACACCAGTGTATTGTAGTTAATGAATCTGTTCTTTCACAGCAAAGGGGGGGGGACAGCCCCATACTTCACTCCAACTTCACTCTACAACCTGAGTGGGGCAAGATCAAAATGTCATCAGCTCCTTACACCACAATAGGCCACAAGAGAAAAGGGAAAGAAAAAGGTCATGACAAAGGCAGCAGCAATCAACAAAAGTGTCCCAACAAAGGAACCTCTCCTCCCTGGGTTCACTAGGAAATAACACTTCCCTCCTTCTTGTCCCCCCACCCAACCACACACACACAAATTAATTCACATCACAAGAACTCGGTACTCCTGCTAAGTGTCAGGTAAATAGAGTAAATCCATCACTTTTTATACTTTAACTGAGACATAAAGCTAACAGAACACACAACATCACTGTGAAAGTAACTTTCTAAAACAGATCCAGCCTACATAGTGCAGCCAGCAAAACTTAAAAGAATAGTTTGTTCACAATCTGCCTTGTACTGGATAGTTATATTCTTTCTATGCCATATAAATAGCATTTATATAGCTTACACATTCAGAGACATGCACTAGGACTTTTTAGGTAGTACAAATTTCTTCACAATCACATGTGCAAATTTTACAAATCACTAAGTGAATATTAATAAGCTTAGGCTGGGCTGTGTCTCGTATCCTCTAATGAATTTAATGCGGGTTCAGAATCATCCATAGGCAGAACCAGGCGTGTCCCGCGAATGACCAGCTCGTGGTCCCCAAATGCAAGCTCACGATCCAGGGCATCTTCAGAACTGTTGCCCAAGAATCTCCTAGGGGCACTAGATGTTGTCGATTCAGTGGTCACAGTGGAATCCCCGTATGTCAAGCTGATATCACCATCATTGAGAATAAGATCAGAGTCATCATCCTTCAATTGTTCTTGGTTCTAAATGCAAATAAAATAAGATTTAGAATTGTTAAGAAATTAAAGAATCATTTCCAGTAGGAGAATTTTTAAACATTCCCTATTTAAAACTCTTCAGTGGCCCAATGCCCTCAAGATAAGGTTTAAATGTCCCTACAATGCCTTAAAAGACAGTGTGACTTGGGAGCTGGGGCTGTGGTTCAGCAGAAGCACACTTGCCTAGCATGTGTGAGGCACTGGGTTCAATCCTCAGCACAACATATAAATATATAAAATAAAGGTCCATCAACAACTTAAAAAAAAAAAAAGGACAGTGTGACTTGTCCGCTTCAGCCTTATCTTCTGACACAACCTGCATTTCATACCCCAACAGCCCCAATGTATATAGTGCTGCCAGTTGCCCAGATGTCTCCCAAATCTCTCTTACCTCCACATCATTCTACATGTTGTCCTCTCTGCCCACTTCATGTGACTACCATTTATTTATAATTTTCTCCTGGAAGTCATCCTTGATCTTCCAGGTCTAGGTTAGGTGTCCCTCCTGTGTGCTTTTACAGCATCCCATTCCTGGACCCCTTCCCTGAAATAGCACTTGCTCTTTCACATATTGGTCTGCCATCAAGGGTCTTAGGGTCTAGGGTGAGAGGGGGAGGAGCACACTGATAAACACATGGTTATGATAAAAGACTTGATGCTATCTAGTCCAACCACCTCACACAGAAATACGAAATCCTCACTGCATACTTGTCTCCCAGCTCCATAAGCTCTGGTTATAATGGAAAGTTTGTGGCAAAATAGCATACTTAATAAAGTTCTACAAGAGGGAAAAGAAATCAAGAATGTATAGTCCCAGTTTGGTAAATAAAAAACATGTGTACACACAGAAAGGTCTGGAATGGTATTCAACATTAACTCTGTAAAAACAGAGTTACTAGTGAGTTTTATTTTATTTATATGTTCCTATACTGTTGGACACTGGCTGCTGTGCCCTGGTAGCCCATTTGATTCTGTACAGAACTGTCAGCCTGCTCTGCTGGTTCAGGCAGTGAGGTTTGGCTAGCATCCCTCTTGCCATCACCAAGAATCCAAAGGTCCACAACAACTGTGTGTCCTGTGGACTATATGAAAATGTGACACACAGCAGAAATGGACAATGCTTGAGAGGGGAGTCCAGGCAATGTAGGAGAGAGATAAAGCAACATGGGGTGTTCTTCCCACTCTGCCAGCAGTCTGTCAAAAATACGCACTCACTCTAAACAAAGCCATAGGGTACTCCCACTCCCACCACCCAACCTGGCCCAGGTGCCACCCCCATGCTGCCTACTTCATCCCACCCATTTCCTATAGGATCTGCTGTGCCATGCCACAAAGGAAGCTGCGAGCAACTGGAGGGTACATGTCTACACTGCTTCCCTACAGCTTCCCCTCTCTCCACTCAAGGTCCTGGGTGTTGTGTCTGAGTAGTCAAAAACGGTAGGCTTTGTTGATAGGAGAGCCCACTGGATGCCACAGATTATTTCTGAATGGTTGGTTTAGAAACAAAGATTTAAAGTTAAAATGTTCACATTGCAAAAATAGTGGCTATTTAGCATATCTCTCACTTTTTTCTTAGTTGGGAAATTTACCAAATCACCAATCATATGCTGGTCTGCATAAATGCAGAATCTAGATTCTGTCTAGATCTGTCCCTGCCTTCCAACAATGTGAACACTGGGCAGAAAAACCTTCTCAGATATCCAAAAGTTGGTAGGTATGAAACAAAACATCTGTTGCACTTCAGGAGCAGCATCAAAATTGTTTTAAAATTCTCTCAACATAACTGTGGCAACCCTAACACACAGACGAAAACATACATTTAGTGCTAAACTTGGGCCACATTGCTACCAAAAAATGAAAGCTGGCATGGGAATAGAATGAGGTAGCAACATCACCTAAGTAAGATGAGATAAATTCTATATCTGTTATCAAATGACATTTGAAAGGCCATGAATTATATTTGTAGATTTCAGTGTATTTTTTGGTTGAGCAAAGTATGCTTAAATTTCTTCTGAGGGATTTTATACTTCAAAGGCCCAAAACTAAACCAAAATAAAACAAAACCAGAAACCCACCCATAAAGCAGCTAAATTAAACTTGCTAAACAGTTCAGTTGGTGGATAAAAATCACTTACTTCATAAGCCTGGGGACTGGTTAGGCACCTGGCGATGGGCCCGCAGCAGTTGGGGAGTGTGGTGGTGAGAGGAGGCCCACTATGAGTCAGCAGAGGCTTCAGGTAGCTGTGAGTGGTTAAGGAAGGGCTGCGCTTTTTCCACACATTCAAAAAACAACTCAGTTAATGACAGTTATTATCACAGTATACCAACCATCGACCACTTTGGAGGTTAACAAAGGGCTTTCACATATGCAATCTCATGTTGTCATCACATGATGACAGTGAGAAAGCAAAGGGAGACCTTTTATCATCTCTATTTCACAGATAGGAAAACTGAGGCTCAGAGAGGTCAAGGACTTGCCTAAGTCACACAATTAAGAAAATAGAAACTGATCTACTAATCAAAATTGGCCTGATTTCCAATTATGTGCCCATTCCACTACATCATATTGCTTTTCTGATTTTACCAAAAGTAAAAGGAACATAAGGTCACTCTAAATTTGGCACTGAAGGAAGCAAGGGAGAAAACAAAGAATGATAATTTTCAGAGAGGAGATTAAATATTTTAATAGTACACAAGTAATAAAAATGTTTTTAATAATTTACTGTGGATTCAAGTGGCCTCCTGAACACTCTAAGTTGAACTTCAGTATCAGGTTGAATCTTTTCCTATAAAACTGTAAGGAGGTAGGGAAAGTCAATTCCTAAGACATTTAAATAAACTATGTATAATGAACGCCTCTACTATAGACCCTCATTTCAACAGATAAAAACGGATTGATAATATATGATACTCAGAAGAAAAAGAGGGAATCACAAGAAAAAGGAGGGATAAAGGATACAGACATATATATCATATTCCCCACATGCTTTTTTTTGTGCTACTGGGGATTCAAACCCAGGGCCTCACAATTGCTACGCAAGTGTTCTACCACTGAGCTGGATCCGCAGTCCCCCATTTTCCCCATATTCTAAAATGAGAACATGGACTGGGGATATAGCTCAGTGGTAGACTTCTTACCCAGCATGCACAAAGCCCTGAGCTTGATCCCTAGCACTCCAGGGGTTGGGGCGGGGGAAGAATATGAAGCTAAGATAGTTCTTAATTAAAAATGGGAAAGTCAGGGGCTGGGGTTGTGGATCAGCAGTGCAGCACTCGCCTAGCACATACAGGGCACTGGGTTTGACCCTTAGCACCACATAAATAAATTAAATAAAGTATTGTGTCCAACTACAACTAAAAAAAAAATTTTAAAAAATGGGAAAGTCACACAAAATTTTGATTTGCCATATTACTAAATTGTAAGCAAAGATTAAATTTTCAACATAAATATACTTTATAAAATATCTGGCCACACAAAGCCAATGGAAAAAAACTAGAATGATAAATTCTACTAGTACAGAAATGTCTAAGTCTGTGTCCAATGGCACTGAGTAGGATACTATTAAGGCTAGCAAGTTGTGGTGTTACACTCTCTGAATAAATTCCTTAGGAGAATTTGCCAAAAGAATAAAAAGAAGAACTTGCCAAATAATTTTGACAAAAGAATCAAGAAAATCTGAATAGTCTTCTATTAAAAGATTAAAAAAACCCATCCCATATGAAAAGAAAGAGGCCCAAATAACTTCAATGTTAAAATCTTCCCAGCATTTAAGGAAGATACATCACCAATCTCATATTGACTCCTTCAGAGAACAGAAAAAGAACAAATACTCCCCAACTTATTTTATAAGGTCAGCATAATATTGCTATAGAAACCTAATAAAGAACATTACAATTTTAAAAATCACAAGCCAATATCTCCCACAAAAGCAGACACAAAATACTAACAAACTAAATCAAATGACATATACAAAAGGTAACATATCACGATCAAGTGGGATTTTTTCCAGCAAAGCAAGAATGATTTTATATTCAAACAACTGACCAATGCAAATCAGCACAATGACAGGTTAAAGGAGAAAAAAAATCATGTCATCAACTAAACTGATGCAGGAAAAACATAAATAATACTCAATGTCTATTCATGATAAAACTCTCAGAAAACTAGAAATAAAAGGAAATAGTCTTAATTTCCTAAAGGTTACATTATACTTCATGGTATAATACTGAAAAATTTCTCCCTGAGATAAGGAGTAAGACAAGAATGTCATTATCACCACTCACCTTCAGCTTTGAGCTGTAGAGGTCCAGCCAATGTATTAAGACTCAAAGAAGAAATGCAAGGGCATCAAGAATACAAATAACAATAAATACTGGAGAGGATGTGGAGAAAAAGAAACTTTAAAACTGTTGGTGGGGCCATAAATTAATACAAACACTATGAAAATCAGTATGGAAGTTTCTAAAAAGACTAGGCACTAGACTCACCTATACCAATCCTTGGTATTTATCTTAAAGAATTAAAAATCACCATACTATAGTGATTAGTGCATACCCATGTTTATAACAGCCCAACTAACAATAGCCAAAAAACGGAATCAGCCTAGGTTGGATACAGAAAATATGGCCTATATACACAATGGAGTTTTACTTAGTCATAAAGAAAAATGAAATTATGTCATTTGCAAGAAAATGGATGAAATTTGAGAACATTATATTAAGCAAAAAAAAAAAAGCTAAACTCAGAAGGGCAAGGGTTATATATGCTTTCTCTCATATGTGGAAGATAGAGAGGGAAAGGGAAAAGAAATGTGAAGGGATTACATGAAAACTAAAGAGGGATAAGTAGAATAGAGGAAAGATACAGAAGGTAGGGAGTAAAAAAAGAAATACAGGCCAAATATATTGTTATGTTTTGTGCATGTACAAATGTATAACAGCAAATTGCAGCATTATGTACAACTATAATGCACAATAAATGTAGAAAAATAACAAAAAAAGAAATACAAGAGCTTGTAAAATAAAAAATAACACATCATTATTCATAGATCAAATCGTGTATGCAGAAAACCAAAAAGAATCTATAACCCACTAGAAATTGTAAGTGAACTTTAGTAAGACAGCTGGACATAGGATCAATACATAAAATCCAATTATATGTATAACAATAACAAACAGAAAATGAAACAAATACCATTTGCAATAGCATCAAAAGCATCAAATACTAGAAAATGGGGAGATATGCTGTGTTCATGAATTGGAAGTCTCACACTGCTAAGATATCATTTCTTTCCAGTAGTTTTTTTTTTTTTGCTTATTTTTAGCAAGACACAAAATGTATAAATTGACCAGATATTTCTAAAATTTAAAGGAAAATGCAAGGGACCTAAAATAGCTAAGGTAGTACTAGAGAAGAATAAACCTACATTTACTCTACAGTAATTAAAAAGTGTGATTGATATAAAAATAGAGAATAGAAAGTCCAGAAATTGGCCCCTACTTATATGGCCAAGTGATTTACAACAAGGATTCCACAGCAATTTAATGGGAGTAATGATGGTATTTTTAAAAATATTTTTTAGTTGTAGATGGACACAATCTCTTTATTTTTATGTGGTGCTGAGGATCAAACCCAGGGCTCATGCGTGTGAGGCAAGTGCTCTACCACTGAGCTACAACCCCAGTTCAGTAATCATTGGTATTTTTAATAAATGGTGCTAGATCATTTGGATATCCATATTGGAAAAAAACATAGATATTAACCATAAGTACCTCGCACTACAGGTAAATATTAATTTGTGCTAGGCACGGTGACACATGCCTATAAATCCCAGTTACTTGGGAGGCTGAGGCAGGAGAATGGCAATTTCAAGGCCAGTCTGGGCAACTTAGAGAGACCCTGTCACAAAATAAAATAAAAAGGCTGCCAATATAGCTGGGGATTGAACCCAGGGCTTTGTATATACTAGGCACTGCAAAAAAAAAAATTAATTTGTGATGAATCAAAGACCTAAAGATGATGCTAAAACAGTCACACTTTTTAGAAGAAAATTGGAAATATATATTCATAACCTTAGGACAAAAAACACTAGCCACAAAAGAAAATACTACAATGGACTTCATTAAAATGCAGAACTTCTGTTCTTCAAAAGACAGGATCCAAAAAATGAAAAGGCATGCTATAGATTAAAAAGACATAATCCATAAAATCATCAATAAACTTAATTCAGGAATATAAAAGAACTATAAGTAAATAGGAAAGAGAAAAGACAAAGATATCTAAAAGATGTACAAAAACCATCTGAAAAGATGCTTTTTCCTGGGTATCAGAGAGAAATGCAAAGTAAACTACTGGATATATCACTATATACTCAGCAAAATGGCTAAAATTCAAAAGGCTGATAAATACGAAGTTCAAGCAAAGAAGTGAAACAACCAGAACTCCCTTAACTTGTTACTGGGTGTAACGATGAATTTATCAAATTGGTTACAACCACACTGGTTAAAAACACTCCAGAAAACTGGTTGGCAGTATGGATTAAAGCTAAACATATATTTGCCCCAAATTCTACTTTTTGGTATACACCCAAAAGAAGTGAGTGCTTATATCCACCAAAAATATACATATATTCTAAAATATTAATTTTATTTGTTATGGCCAAAAGCATTTTCAAATGTTTATTAACAGTAGGATGGTTAAAAACAAAAACAAAAATCATATAATATATTCATACCTTGGAACACTACAGAGCCATAAAAAGAATGAATCACTGTTACATGCTACAACATAAATAAATTACATGGAAGATACTGAGCGAAGGAAGTAAAACACAAAAGAATACATAATACATGATCCATTTTTGTTGAGATCAAGAACAGATAAAATGTTATTCATGCTGACTGAAGTCAGAATCATGGTTACCCCTTTCTGGGGGTGGCAGGGATGATGTTACTATTGCAAAGAAACACAGGGAACCTTCTATGGTGCTGGAAATGCTTCTATATAGCTTTATATGGATGGTGGGCACACAGGTGTAGATATAGGTCAAAATTCATTAAGCTAAACATTTAAGATTCATGTACTTTATTGTATTCCAAGTTATACCACAATTTTAATAAATAATCCAGTTGTACCCAAGAGAACCAAAATCTACAATGATGAATAATTAATTCTCCCAGGGCACCAGGTATTAACATGACCAGATCTTGTGTAGTACTTAATAGGGTAGTACTGAATCAAACAAGTCTTCATGTTTACTTCTATAAGAATATTTTTTAAAAAGCTGGTATTCTTTCTGTACATTAAGATCATTTGTTTGTGTATAAGAAAATGTACAAAACAGTTTATGCAAAAGATGCTAAAATAATTGTTAAATCAGAGGGATGAAAAGCCCCAAGAGGTATGCAAATGGCTTATATCCAAAATGCTGATAATAGAGCCAAAAGTAATGACATAATCTTTAAACTATTTTAAAGAGCCAGGCTGTCTCCCTCCCTAATGGGAGTCTTAATACCACAGATATGCTTGCATTCTTGTTTCCATACAGTAATTTAATTTTGAAATACTTGTAAAGAGTGAATGCAAATATCTGGTAAATAGAATATAGTAAGTAGTAGCTTCTAATCATAAATGTCAAGTGCATTCATGTTAAGTATATGAGGCTTTGATCAGCAAATAGAACAATTTTTACATGCTTATCCCAAATTTGCTTCAATGGAACCTAAACCAAGTTTTCATTCACTTGCTAATAAATCTTAGCCTGAAATAACTCCATGGTTTCTTTTTTTCTGATTCAAATTTCAAATAAGAAAAACATCTGAACAGTAGCAAAAATGTTTTTAAAGGCATGATTTAAACAAGTAATAGAACACCAACACTATTCAAAGCATAGCTATGAAGAAAATTTACAACAGGACAAGAAAATATGATCATCAATGAAAATATTTAGCTATTTGTGGCACTTTTGTGGTGCTGGGGATTGAACTCAGGGTCTGGAACATTCTAGGTAAATGTTGTACCACTGAGCTACATCCCTAAGCTTATTTTTATTTTGAGAGAGGACCTAAGTTGCCCATGCTGGCCCTGAACTTCGGATCCTCCTGCCTCAGTCTCCTGAGTAGCTAGGATTACTGGTGTGTGCCACACTTATAGCATTCTGAATGTACAGTTGAGTCTCCTGGTCTTTGAAAAGGTCAGGGAAGAAAAGGCATGTCCCTGCATACTGTAGTAATCTATCAGTACTGAAGTTTTATTCCATCTCCATGTTTTCCCCTAAGGCAGCCTTTCCTAGTCCACCCTAGCAAGTACCCCAACAAGAACAAACAAATACCTTTTATATGATTCACTAAGTTAGCTTAAGGACAACAAATATTAAAATTTGCTCAATAAATAAACCTATACATTGAAGAAAGTATGACATCTGGGCTCTTGATTCCCTCCATATAACCGGCCTTTACAATAACAAGTCCCTACTGGTTTCCTGGGTGTGCAGAGGCATTCAATTGTGTGAATTTCCTCCTTCACACACTGATGAAGAAAGGGAAGACTATAGGTTAGGTTTTACATTCCACTTCCAGAAAGCAACTGTCAAAACAATTGTTCTGACGCTAGGGTTGTTCAGTAGTAGAGTGCATGCTTAGCATGTGTAAGGAAGGCCCTGGCACCATAAAACAAACAAACAAAACAATTGTTCTGTGTCCATACTATCTTTTTTTTTTTCTCAATGAAGGATACTTATGATCGAAGTTGTACCATATCCGGAAGAGCCAAGCACTCTCTGCTTTGGTAGTTCTCCGTTCATTTTCTGGAACACCCTGCAGAAAGATAATACAAAAATCATTATATACACAAACACATTTGTATAGAGTCCTTCCTTAGTAGAATCAGAACTACAGCCTACAGAAAAGAAACTTTCCAACATGGGTAACATTAGAAATTTAATGGCTTGTATACAGCAGTTTTGAAGAAATTTAAATATTTGTCTGAACATCTCTATTATTCAGAAGACTTGCTAATTTATGAATCTATTGTCATTTTTAAAAGTCAGTGTAGGAGAATTCACTTTTGAAATCTGAAAGACTTATACCCCCCAATGCAATAGCAACTTAAGTAGAAAACATCATACCAACGTTCATTCCTATCTTTGGGAGTTGTCATGGGTCTCAAAAGTAACTGGCATTCAAAGTTATTATTATGTTCTTAACTCACTAGCAAAATGAAAACAAGCAGGGAAATTCCATGGTAAGCCTGATTGCTTAGGGGAGAAAATTAATACAGCAAGCAGGCTCCTTCTAAAATAGCTTCCAAAAAGATAAACTGTGTCCTTACTTGTAATATGGTATGGTCGGTAGTTGGGCAGTTAGACTATCTGGTTCCAGTCCTGGCTCACCAATGTTAACTAACTTCTTACCTCTCCAGACTTGAATTTCTTCATGTGTAAGATGTGAATGTTAGAGACTCCCCAAGGCCCTTTATAGTGCTAGTGTTCTAAGGTTCTATAATTTTCTAAGAGTGCAGAGTTTAGATTCTGGGTTTTGGTTCCTTCCTGTCTTCCCTAATTCTCAGAAGTAGTTATTATTTTCCTTGACATGAATCAGTACATACACAAAAATGTCTGAGGACAATGTGTGGGCTTATAAGTACTGAAGAGCATTTTCTATATTTCCTTTCACATTGCTAGGTATGGTTTTGCATACCTTCACCTTATTTATTTATTTACTTACTTACTTACTGGTTTGGGGATGGAACCAGGGCTTGTGCCTGCTAAGTACGTGCTCTAACACTGAGCTGTATCTCCAGCCCACGGTATTTTGTTTTATTTTTATTTATTTATTTTGTGTTTACTTCTTGAAAATCAATTTGTTTATAGATCTCACCACCTCCTTACCACATTAATACTTGCACATCCAACCCTCCCCACACTCCATACTTACTATAGTGCTCCTCTGTGTTTCCTTGCAGACATTTATTGAGTAAACAATATAACCAAAACATCCATGGAATTTTGAAGCCAGGGAAAAATCTTTTTTTTTTTCTTTTCTGTATATCACCACTTACAGTCACCAACCTGGCTCTGTCCCTGCAATTCTGTTTCCATTTCCCCTCTGGTGACAGAGGTGACACAGCTGATGGAGCCTTATTCAGACAACAATCAAGAATTTGTCCTGTGAGCTGCATGATAACTGTATTCTGGTTTTGCCACAGGGGTGGAGGCATTGAGGAGCTATTACCACTTGGACACTAACCCAGCAGCTTGGCATGATGGGAATTTATCCAGCCTGGTTTGTTCAAGTATTTCAAGCCCATGGAATTCTACTTTAAGGCTCTGACCACAAAAGAGGCAAGTACTTACTATATCACATACACACACAGGCATTCATCACTCAACAGCTAACAAAATTAGCATTTAGGAAATGAATCTGATAATTTTTTTTAACTATACCCTAAAGAAAAATATACCAGTGCTTATTTCAGACAAGAACAAGAATCCTGTCTTGAAGTAGATGCTTTCTGTTTTCAAAAACATAATTTCATTGATTTTTCATCTTATGTCTAATACAGAGTCACATATTCAGTGGTGCTCAGAAACCATTAAACAGCAGACAGAAAATACTGAAAAAGGGTGGTTAGTCTAGAAAGTGCAGCCAGTTACACTGTGCTCAATCCAATAGGCTGGAGTTCATAGGAACAACTGAGAAACTGACACACGGAAGGAAAGAAGCAAGGAGATAAGAAAGTGCATTCTCCTGAGCAGGCAGGGAAGGCTAGTTCAACATTCAAAAGCTTCTAGGCAGTTCTCAGGGGCAGCTGCTGGTCATCCAATTTGAAAGTTACACAGGAAGAGCAGCTGGAGTGAGGCTGACATCAGAGACAAGCCTTCATGCGCAAACCAAAGTGGAAAAAGGCTCCCTGTGCCAGAGCAGTCACTTGAAAACCCAGGAGTGCTTAAGAGACTACTCCCCTCTGTGGCAAAAGCCCAGGATGGACTACAGATAGGAAACCTGCCACTCTTGATAACCACAAGCTAACTAAAATGTGGTTTTGTCTCTATGGAGTAGTGAGAAAAGCCAGGAATGAAGTCAGTTAAAAGCTGAGGCAGACAACACAGGATCTAAATAGTGACATGAAGTCTACAGGAGGCTGTTTTCTTTCCAAATGGCTGTACACTTGACAGAAATGCCAGGGACAACACAAATGCATATTTACCAAATGTTCTTGGTCTGAATCAACACCAACCCTAAAGGAAAAACACAAAGAGCAAGTGAGATTTTGAAGCCAAAAAAAGGCCTAGTCACATATGTACATTGTCAGGAAACTACTCTTCTCAACACAGAAGCTATGGAATGGTTAATGTTTTCTTACCCTCTACAGTTGTTGATATACATTTTTGGCTCCTGACACTTTCCTTAGCAACAGCTTGGATTCTAAGGCAAGCAGGGTGAAGAATTCTATTCCTGTAATCCCACTCACCAGTGTCAGTAAAATACCATTTCTTCTCTGAATGTAAGTCCACTCTAAGCAGAGTCAGGGAGAGCAACACTGCCCAGTTGTTGAATAAGAACTAGTGGAAAGTTCCCAAAACAAGGCTGGCACAATGCAATTCCAGGAGGGAGTTGCATGTTTGGGGACCTTGCAGCTTTCATGGCAATATTTTGTTATGATGATGGAAGAGAAGGTCCAATTTCAGTTTTTTCATAGGCTAAAGAACAGACATTAGTCTTGGTTTTTCAAAATTTGTTTTTACCTGTGCTTCCTGGGGAACAGCTTCATTAAGAAGTTCTTGTGACTCTTCTACTCACCAACTCTGTTCTTTCTTCCTCTACCCTGCCCCTCAGGTTTCCTATCCTTGCCACCCCAGCTGCTGCAGCATAGGCCCTCGTTCTGACTCACAGGGCCTGGAGTATAAGTCTTTCCATCACCAGGCTCTCCCCTAAAGTAAGTGTCTAATGTACAGAATTTGTTGGTCACTCCCTTCACAGAACACTCAGAGTAGTTTACAATCCAAACGGGCAAGTAAAAAAAAAGCTCTTTGAATGGCATTCAAGACTCTTGACAAACTAGTAGCCACCCCACCCTCCAGCCTACCTTCCCACCCTCATTCCCCACCATTCTCTTCTAAAAAATGCCCACCAAGTCCTCCCCAAATCCTTGTCCTTTCGGGACCTCCATACCTTCACTCATGCAATTCCCTCTAGCTGAGATGTGCTTTCCCTCATTTTCCTACTTGTCTACTAAGTTACAAAGTAACTGTTCTATGACCCCTCCAAGCAGAATTTTCTCCTCTTTGCTTCAGCAGCACTTCTTAGAGTCCTTGGTTATAATACTTAGCACAGTAGAGTATAGTTATTTACCTGTCAGTCTCCCCAAAAAGACTGTGAGCTCCTTGAGGGTAAAGGCCATGTCTCAATTCATCTCTGTATCCCCAGAGTCTAGCACAGTACCTGACACACAATAGGTGCTCAAATGTTTATCAATTAAGTTAACTACTACAGACAACACACACAAAACAGCAGTATGAAAAGCTGTAGCAGCAGCACCCCCAAAGACAAGTAATACTCAAGGGAGGAAAACAACGCCAAGACACCTCTGGTAGGTAAGGTTGTCATGATCAAGTAATTGAAAACAGATGGCCATGACAAGATTCAAAATTCAAAGAAAGGCTCATTTTTACTTTGTTAAAAATGGGCAGATGCTGTTTAAGGTCTTCGCAGTCACATTAAAGTCTAACCACATTTATGCATCTCAAGTGACATCTAGTGGTCTTGAAGATAGTACATTTATAATGTTCAAATGGTTCCTTTCCTGAAGCCAATACAATGTAATAAACATTTATAGAGCACTTATTATTTGCCAGGCACTGTGCTAGGCACAGGGCATAGACATGAATTAAACATGGTCCCTGCCCTCAAGGAGCTCACGGACTAGTGGGGGAAACAGACACAGAGCAGAATTGCTAAGGGCTTGCTGTCAGGGAACACTAAGTTCAAATGTGCACCTGGCTACCATCTAGCTGTATGAATTCAGTCAAGTTATGTGGTCCTATGGACCATAATTCTATCATTTGGAAAATAGGGCTAGTATCTACCACAGAGAGTTGTTGCAAGGATTAAATGAGAAATAAGTATCAAAAGCTTTTAAGAAGGGAATAAAATCTACAGAGTTATGCTATATCCATGTACAAATGTACCACAATGCATACTGCTTATATAATGATAAAACACTAATTAAAAAATAATGACAGAAGGGAGATTGGTAGAGTAAATGGATTGAGTTAGGGAGAAGGGAAGGGAAAGGGAAGGCACTAGGGAAGAAAACTGAACAAATTATGTGCAGGTATGATTAGGCATAATGAAACCCACTATTATATATAATTATAATGCATAAACAAAAATTTAAGAAAAGAGTGTCTGATGCATCTTTAATGCTAAGTGGTAGCTCTTATAACAAGACTGTATTATTACATAAAACAAGACTGCATTATTACATAACTAAATGAAATAAGTGCTATAATAGAGAAACCCAATGTTAAGGAGTGGTTCTGAGAGAAAGGAACAGGGTGCAAAGGAAGAGACGCTTGGCTGTGTCACTGGGAGTGACACAGAATTCCAGCCAGAGGGAACAGTATGAGCAAAGGCTCAGAGACAGAGAAATGCAAAGCAAGTGCAGTAGATAGGGAGCCAAATGTGACTGTCATAAATTATGTGAAAGGACACAGGAATGGCTGGCTGACTCTAATTCACTGAGGATTCACTGGTTATGAGACAGTTGAAGTGCTCCTTTACTACTGTAAATTAGATCATGTCATTCCCCTCATTTTAATATCCTCAGAGATTTCTAATTTTATTTTAAAATCCACTCTCTTCACCACATCTTACAAGACCTTACAGCAGGGGTTTACAAACTACAGCCTACATACCCCTCTGTTTTTATCAATAAGGTTTTGTTGGAACACAGCCACACCAATTACATAGTTATCTATGGCTGTTTTCGCACCAGCAATGAGCGGCTAAGACAGAGACCATATGATCTGCAAAACCAAAAACCTTTCCTCTCTGTCCCTTTACGGAAGTCTGGAGATCCCTACTCCCATGGAATCTTGCCCTCCTCATTTCTACCTACTGTTCAAATCACTATGCCCCCACTATATAAGCTTTTGTGTTTATCTAACAGGCCAAGTTTGTTTCTGCCTTGGCATCTGCACTTGCTTCTCTCTGCCTGGACTGCTCGTCTTCCTGATCATTGTTTGACAGTATCTTGTCACTAAGGTAGACTGAGCTCTAACATAACCTTTCAGAGAAAACTTCCTTGACCTTTTCATATACCCCCATTCCCAGTGAGTATCAAAGTACCTTCTTTGACTGACATCACATTTAATACATCTAAATTTGTCATGTTCATTTGTTTACTAATCTATTGCCTATCTTTTCCCACTAAAGTACACACTTTACAAGATCAGGCGTATTATCATTACCACTGCCCTTCTCTAGGGCTTTTAAAAAATATATATCTTTTTAGTTGTAGATGGACACAATATCTTTATTTTGTTTATTTATTTTTATGTGGTGCTGAAGATCGAACCCAGTGCCTCACATGTGCGAGCGGTCTACCACTAAGCCACAACCCCATCCCTAGAGCAGGGCTTTTTAACCTTAGCATTATTGATATTTTGGCCCAAATAATTCTTTGTTGGCAGGTTGGGGGATGACCTTTCCTGTGCATGATAGGATGTTTACCAGCATCCCTGGCCCCCACTCAGCAGAAACCTGTAGAAGTCCCCTCTCCCAGTTGTGACAATCAAAAATGTATCAAAACACTGCCAAATGTCTCCTGGTGGGCAAAATGGTCCCTGGCTGCAAATCACCGAATTGGAGCCTAAAACAGTGCTTGACACATGGCTGGTGCTCAGTAAGTGATTCATCAAGTGAATGGACAAAGACACATTTGAAAGGCTATGCAAAGAGCTTTGTAGACATAAGCTCACTGAATCCTAACAACCACCCTAAGAGGTAGCTACTAAGATGGACATGATACAAATGAGGAAACAGGCTTTGAAAGGTTAAAGAACTTGCCAAAGATTGCAGAATTAGTAAGAAGGGGCAAGAACTCAAAACCAAGTTTAAGTGTGCATGCATCTTCAACTTTCAGGATACCTCAGTATTTTCAAAATTATACTAGGCAAATTGGGAGGGTGGGAAGAGAAGCTTAAAACACTGCCTCTGTCACAAAGAGGCTGAAAAACTCAAAACAAAAAACAAGAAGTTATCTAAGACTATAAGGCAATGTATTTAATTGCATTCCATTCATGTTACAAAATGCACAAGATGGGGCCAGCCAGAGAGGTTTCAAAGCTAGTGACACAGATTAAGCTCTATGTGAGTAGCTAGATTTTTGATTTTGCTTTTTTCTTGGCAGGGATAGTAAAGTATGGGTATTTTGTTTAGTTTTTGTGGAGGGAAAAGAACTGATTCTCCTTAAACCTGAGACTCTACCGAAGAGTATTACTTTTCCTAAATTATCTTACATTTAATTTTGTTCTCCTTAGTAGAGTCTTCACTTATAAGCCATTGAGAAAAGAAAGGAACTTAGTCCTTTTGAAATGTACTACTGTCAATTTTTTATGCATTGTGGTACAGAAGAAACTAAATAAAACCAGAGGCTCCTCTGTCCACCATTTAATTTCATATATATCACCTTGGACAACTAAGAATCTTTCTAAGTCTCTATTTCTTCATTTGTAAAACAGAGTTTCTATAATTAGATAAACACATTAAATACAGTTAGCACAATGCCTGGCACATAGTAGGTGCTCGATAAATTCCAGGTCTTCCTTGAAGCAATAATGTCTGTAAGAACATTAGGATTATAAAAACATATGCTACAGTATATTGTCTACTACACATAATAACAACACAGAGATTATTAAAAAGGGGATTTGGATAGCAAAGAGAATAAGATGGCAATAACAACATTTAAAGTGTTATTCAAGGCTGGCTGGTCTTTACAAAATTAAAAGAAAGGCATGACAGAATGGAAAAAAAGAACAGATTCTATAAAATGTGAAATGTTTTCTCTAATGAACCTTCATATTCTGGAAGCCTGGTAACCCTTAACATCTATGAAGTTTTAGCCAAACAGAACTAAAATCTACAAAGGCTTCAGGAACAACACAGGCTGCTGTATCCATGGAAACAAATGTAGAACTCTTGAGATACAAGATAGCTTTCAAATTGAATACATTAAGTAGTACACATTGAAGACTAAGGCCTCATGATCTTGGCCTTGGTTTGTTAGGTTAGAAACAGTGGTGATCATAAACATGAGAAAGAATGATAACATCTATTATGGATTAGGGCTGGGGTAAATTGGATTGTCTCACACACTACAAATGAATCCAACCTGGTAATATGACTGAACACCTTAAATATATGCATATCCTTCTTTTTGATATTGGGAATTACACCCAGAGCTGTATTTACCATTGAGATGTATTCCCAGCCCTTTTTATTTTGAGGCAGTGTCTAGCTAAATTGCTGAAGCTGGCCTCAATCTTGTGATGCTACTGCCTTGGTCTCACAAGTCACTGGGATTTTAGGCACGTGCCACCATGCCCAGCCATGCACATCCTTTAGGTTAAGCAATTCCATTTCTAGGATGCATCCTACAAATAACTGCAAAGAGGTGTACATACTTAAGAAGGTTCACATTATTGACAGTAACAGCAAAATCCTCAAATGGTAATGGCAACAGCAAAATTTTAAACTCAATACAAAAATCCAACAATAGGAATTAAAAAAAATTTTTTTGTAGTTATAGATGGACAGCATGCCTTTATTTTGTTTGTTTATTTTTATGTGGTACTAAGGATTGAACCCAGTGCCTCACATGTGCAAGGCAAGAGCTCTATCACTGAGCTATAGCCCCAGGCCTAACAACAGGAATTTGATTTAAGTACTTCTGGATATATGCCGCCATTCAAATAATGATATGAATTCATGCTATATTACGTTTAACAAAATCAGTCTACAAGAGTACCCTTAGTATTGCACATTTTTGTTCAAAATACATACATTGCCTAGCAAAAGATCTGAAAAGATATCCTTCAAAGGGTTAATGATGGTTTTTATTTACTTTTGTTTTACATAGTTTCATTTTTCTGTACTATATCTTCTATGCTTTTTAAAAGGAAAAAAATGACACATTACAGAGTCACCAAAGTTTAAAATCTTCTCATGACTAAAAGAAAAATAAGCTGAATTAAAATATCACATTAAAATGAGGCCTCCAGTTCCTACTTACCTTATATGCAAGCACGACAGCATGGCAGTGGTACCACCACCAAATACCCACACGGTAAAAAACACAATAAGAAGTGTGGTGCTGAACATCATTTGCCGAGCATAAGTGGCAGTGTCTCGAATGGCCAAAGCAAATGCCATTGCACCACGAAGGCCTACAAAGGAATGGAAGAGGTATTCTTCAATAACGCATCACCAACATGAGCTTCATAAAATCAGAGATATAAAGCATGTCCTAAAGCTTAGAAGCAGGTGAACAAATATGAAATAAATATTAATATAGCTAAATATACACAAATAGTAAGAGAATTAGCATGATACTGACATGTATTGATATTTTAATTCCTTAAAATTTATATTTTAATTTATGTGAAGAATTCATCTTTTGATATACAGTTCCATGAGTTTTGACAATGAGTAGAGCACTGCCACAATGAAGACACAGAACAGTTTCATCTTATCCCAACACCTCTGTGCTATCCCTTTTAGTCTAACCTCTTTGTCACCCTGCCAAACCCCTGATTGTTCTCCATCACCATGATTCTGTCTTTTTGAGAATGTCATGTGAACAGAATCATAGAGCATCTAACCTTTGAGACCAGCTTCTTTCCCTCAGCATAGTGCCACTGAAATTCATCCACTTCTTTGTGTGGATCAATAGTTATGGTTTGGATTTGAAGTGGACTCCAAAGCTCCTGTGTTAATGCAGGAGGTGAAATGATTAGGTTATTGGAGCTGTGACCTAATTGGTTAATTAAGCCATCTAATGAATTAATAAGTTGAAAGGACTACTATACTGAGTGGTAACTATAGGAGGTGGGGTATAGCTGGAGGAGACATTTCACTAGGGATGTGCCCTTGGGGATTATATCTTGACCCTCTCTATACCCCCACCCTCACTTCCTGGTGGTCCTAACTGAGCAGCTATCTTTAATCAGCCCCTTTTGTGTTCTACCTAGCCTCGGGTGCAGAGCAATAGTCAGCTGACCATGAACTAAGACCTCTGAAACCATAAGCCAAAATAAACTTTTCCTCTTCTAAGTTATTTTTGTCAGATATTTTGGTCACAGTGATGAAAAGCTAAGTAACACAAATAGTTTTCTCTTTTTGCTGCTAAGTAGTATTCCATGACATAAATATATCATGGTTTGTTCTTCCATCTACTCATAAAAAAGACATGTGGGTTGTTGCCAAGTTTTTGGTAATTATAAACAGATTTGTTATAAACATTCACTTACAGGTTTTTGAGTGAAAACTGCATTCATCTTTACCTTTCTTAACTTGCATTAATATATTTTTGAACCAAACATTTGGAAACAGAATATAAAAAAAATTCTATAGAAGGGAATAAGATACTATAAGAATTTTCACCTTGATTATGCAATGTCCATGTTTCAAAGAGTCCTTTATTAGGGACATGATTTTTCAGCTTCAAATCACATAAACTGGCATATAATCTGTGTTGTCAATGATTTCTTGAGGAAGACTAGAGAAGAAATTTTAACTTACCAGCAAACATCATCATATGTTGAAAATTTGATCCAATCTTACTTCTTCTACCCAAATTAAGTAAGAAAGACAAGGGGTAAATATTGGCAGCTCTTCCCAAGAAAATAGCAATCTAAAATTATTAATAGGTTAAGGATTATTTCTTCTTACTATTGACATTATTTAGACTATACATTTAAGACAGTCAAAAGCCATTTCAGGGAGCTCAGTTTTTAACAGTCAATCTTGATTCCATTGTCTAACACAGTGCTGTCCAACACATATTTTTGCAATGAGGGAAATTTTCTATCTGTATTGTCCAATACAATGAGCACCTAAAATGTGACAAGTGTGACTGAGGAACTGAAATTTTAATCCTTATATCATTTATTAATTTAAATTTAAATAATCACACATGGCTAATTGCTACCAAATTGGACAGTACAGGCTTAACATACAGGAAATTCATTAGATGAAGAAAAAGATGTTTCAAAGCAGAGCTTCACTACTATATATTTAACATTATTAATATAATAGTTATAATTCATTTTCATTGTCAGTGTTGATAAAAAGAGTAATGTTGGCTAAATCTCCCCATCCTTTCTTTTTTTTAATACTTTTATTTTGTTTATTTATTTTTATGTGGTGCTGAGGATCAAACCCAGGGCCTCATACATGCAAGGCAAGCACTCTGCCACTGAGCCACAACCCCAGCCCTACCCCATCCTTTCTAAGAACAAATGGCAATTCAGCCACCTCACACCACTGAAAGTCCTGCAAGCCCTAATTCATCCCACTGAATCTATACTTCCAACCTGGTGCAAAGGACAGGCTTAAGGTGAGTTAAGATTGGTTTTAACTAGAAACCAATATTAGTGTCTTTTTCTCTACTTGCTGTCTTATACAAACTCCTGCTTTATAATTACAGTTTTTATCTCAGGGGGCACAATACAGTTCCAATACCATTTCCTGAAAGGAATATAAAGGGAAATCTAATATTGAAAACAAAGTAACATGGTAGAAACAATGCTGACCTTAGTAAACTTGGAAAAGAATGCAGCCTGTAAGATTAAAGGCAAAAGAAGCGCACATACAAATGATGTGTCTATTGGTAAAGTACTCCCATGGGAGTACTGGTTAACAATTCTGATACTGCTAAATGGTCATGCACCATATAATGTTTCAATCGATGACAAACTGCATACACCATAGGTCCCATAAGATTACAATGAAGCTGAAAAATTCCCATTGCCTAGTGATGCTGTAGCTGTCATAACATCAAGATATAGCACATTACTCAGAGGAAACAAACATACTGTTCTGCTAGTCATTAAAAAGCATGGCAGGGGCTAAGGTGGTGGCTCAGTGGTAGAGTGCTCCCCTAGCATGCATGAGGCACTGGGTTCTATCCTCGGCACCACATAAAAACAAACTAATGTATCCACCTAAAAACTAAAGATACATAAATAAATAAATATTTTTAAAAAAAGCATGGCACACTGGGCACGCTGATGTAGCCAGGCAAGTAATGGAATATAGTTGGAGCTTAAGTATGAACTCATGTTTAGTTTAATGCAGATATAAATAGCTACAAAATGAAATATTTATAGATATATGTAACTACATCACTTAGTACATACATAGATTATTTCCTTGGTTTATCAGCTGACAGGGACTAGAATCTAAGACACTCAGTAGTGATGAGCACACCGAGTATCCAGATCTTGGTTTCTAATATCATTCTCCAATAAAAGGAATCAGGACTCCTTGAAGAAATGGTCAATTCTTAGGCTGAGGCAGAAAAGGCTCAGGGAGGCTAAGGTAACAGTACTTTACTTCTGAGGTATTCATCCCAAAGAAAACATAACCCTAATCTAATCATGGGGAAAACACCAGACAAATTCCAGTTGAGGAACACTCAACCAAATACCTGGTCAATATGTCTCAAAACTGCCAAGGGTCCTTAACAACAAGGAATAGCCGAATAACTGTCACAGTTTAGCAGAACTTAAAGAGACATGACAACCAAATATAATATGGTTTTCTGGATGGGACGCTGAAACAGAAAAGGGACATCAGGAAAAATTTGTGTGAATCTGATTTCAGTATGAACTTTTGTTAATAATAATGTATTCATATTGGCTCATTTGTTGTGACAAAATGTAGCAGGCTAAGATGTTAACAATAGGGGAAACTGGAGGGTATATGAGATGATTTTATTCTAAAATAAAAATTATCTAAAATAGTGATTTCCTAAAACAAAAGAAAATAATAGCATGTGGGATCCTATAGCAGCAACTGCTAATTCTCCCTACTATCTCTCTCTTTCTAGCCTTTATAGTAGTGGACACTCTTCCCTCCCACTCCCTATTTTTATTTGGGTACATAGCTACCCAGATAAAGACTATGATTCTCAGCCTCCCTTGCATGTAGGTGTATCAAGTGATGTGAAGTGGTACTGATGTACACATATTTCTGCCCTCAAAGGCAATTGGCAGACATAGGGATGAGACATCTTGGACCACATGGAAAAGAGCAACTCCCTAAGGAGAGCAGGAATAAGGTTGCTTGGGTCCCTGATGACTCTGTAGAGCAGAGCTGACACACCAGCTCAGACTTCTACATGAAAAAGAAAAGAAAAACTTCTGTCTTGTTTAAATGTAGGTTAAATTTGAGTCGTTGTTACATGAAACCAAACCTACATCTTACCTAATGTAGGCAGAAAGAGAACAGCTCTCTCCTGTTAAGAGTCGATTTTTACAAAATTTTTAAATTGAGGAATTTTAGTTCCCAACAGATTTAGGGACCTCTAGAGAACATTTTAACCTTATTTCCAGATTGAGTACAGTAGATCAAGCCATTTGACTGCTCAAAAATTTCTTAAATATTCACAGGACATAAAGTTACTAATCTCATGGTTGTCTTTCAGCTAAGGTTCTTAATTTATTAATAGAGTTTTATCTTTTTATCCAGAAGATTCTGCAGAATGGTATTTCAGTAATACCTTACTTTTCAAGAGAGATTTTATATTGAGTGTTGATTTTAAAAAAATATACCAATCTCTTTGGCAGAATCTTCATTCTGAGCTTTGTTAAATAACTTCTTTTGAAAATCACTTATGCAAACATTCATCTCTTTGGCCACAACCTTTCTTTCTATATTGTGCATTCCACTAGCCCACTATGATTATTCTTTTACCACACTGGAATCTCCAGTCCAAAGATGGCCTTACTTTCTCCTTTATCAGTCCTCTCTCTTATTCACTCCCCTTCTTATCCACGTGTTTGTAATAATCTTTTTCCAATATCCTAATATTAGCTTTGTCCCTCTCTTATTATACTGCACCCACTGAACAAAAGCCCAAAGTTGGATGGACTATCTCTTTTCTTCATGCTTATGGCTAAGTCCTTCTGGACAAAGGCATAGAATAGGGCACACTGGTTCTCTTGATGTAGAATCTGTTCCTCAAACTGAAATGGATTCCTACTTATTGCTCAATAATCCTATTGCGTTTCATTGGTCAACTCACTCTCCCACTCTGCAACAATTTCATAAACTTTCTTCATCTTCCGCAAAACTCCTATCACCTGTGAAGTCAGTCTCCAAGATAGTCCCCTTGTATATTCACTACTCACACTGTACCAGGTTTGGTCTGTGTGACCAACAGAATATTGCAGAAGTGATGACAGTATGCCACTTCCAAGATTGGGTTATAATAGGTATTTCAGCCAACATCTTGATGCTCTCTCAATCTTGATGCTCAATCTGGGAGAAGCCATGGTTTAGGCTGCCCTATGGAGAGGTCCCTGTGGAACAGGATGGGAGACTTCTGCCAACAACCATGTGAGTAAGTTTGGAGTAGGAACCTCCAGTCCTAGGCAAGTCTTAAGTACAGTCTCTGCCAATAGCACGACTGCACTCTCCTGAGAGATCCTGGAGCCAGATTCACCCAGCTAAGCTGTTCCAGGATTCCTGACCCTCAAAAACTGTGGGAAGTAAAGAATGTTTATTGTTTTAAGCTAAGTTCTGGGTAATTTGTTATAAAATGGATAACTGATACTTCTCTATTTCACTCTCAGCAGATGATCTCACCTTCTACTTCACAGTTAAAAATAGAAGCCATCGGCTAAGAGCTCCATCTTACAGGTGTACCTACCTCTTCACATGCCCTATCCTCTCCTGTAATAAGGGTACATCTTTCCTTCCTCCCAGTGAAGGCCAATTCCTCCCCACATACTTGGGATTCCAACTCTGTCTTCTCATGAGCTTACACTTTTGTTGGCTCTCTTTTATATTCTCAGCTTCTTCCTTTTAATTGGTTTTTAAAGACTCAATGTGCTCATATGGAAGAGAGAGAGAGAAAAAAAAGGGAAAGAAAGGGGCCTCATTTGAGCTTTCTTCTTCTTCTTTTTTTTTTTAAATATTTATTTCTTTTTAGTTATTGGCGGACACAACATCTTTGTTTGTACGTGGTGCTGAGGATCGAACCTGGGCCGCAAGCATGCCAGGCGAGTCGCACTACCGCTTGAGCCACATCCCTAGCCCCGAGCTTTCTTCTTTTATCTACTGTTCTGTGGCACAGGCTACTAACTATTCTTCAGTATTCATGTTCTCCTCCTTCTATTTAGTAACAGAAGCCAAACAGGGTTACCTTTGGGGGTTGGCGGAATGGTACAAACTATTCTGTCATTTCAATCCGTCAATGTTATTTGTGCGATAAACAGAAATAAAAATAACAGAATAAAATCAATAGAATGGAATAGATAAAGAGAGTTGAAATCCTTATTTGTTTTACTCAGAGGAAAATTTTACATATTTAAATGTATTATTATCAGTCATATATCCAAAAACCAAATGAAAATTTCAATTAAGATAGTTTTCAAAACAGAATATATGATAAAGGATACAAAAGCTCCTACTACGAATGTTGGGTTAAAGACATGGTTCTGGAAGGTAAAAAGTGTCAGTCCCATGTAGGAGAAGATGAAATTCTCTGCCAAGAAATTGAGAAGCTCAAACAACTGAAACGAAATTTTAAAAGATTAGTCGAGTAAATGAATTAAGTCATGCGATTTTAAAACATGAGTATTACTAAGATAATGAAATAGATACTTCACATATGTAAACTTCATGCATAAACCCAAAATACATGACTCAGAGGGGAGTGAATGCAGAGATATTTCCAGTCCCATAAAAAGAATGAGAATTGTTGCCTCCTCACCTCTTTCAATCAGCTTCCCTACTCTGAATCCCCATCTTCGGTCTTCTCCTCTACCTCCTAACCATGTCAATTTTTCTTTTGGAATGTTCCTTGTGTCCTCCACTGCCCTAGTTTAGTTTTCATCACTTCCCACCCATAATGCTGCAAGAGGACCCTAACTGATATCCCTGACATCCTCATTTCCTACCCCCACAATGAATCTCTAAAAAACAGCAGTTTCAAGATACTTTCCTCTCTATAAGCTATAAAGATCCAACTCAATTTCTTGTTTTTTAGTACTGGAGATTGAACCCAGGGATGCTTAACCATTGAGTCACATCCCCATCCCCATCCCCCCCCCCCTTTTATTTAGAGACAGGGACTCACTGAGTTGCTTAGGGCCTTGCTAAGTTGCTGAGGCTGGCTTTGAATTTGTGATCCTACTGCCTAAGCCTCTGGGATTACAGGCATGTGCCACTGCTCCTGGCTAATTCAACTTCTTTTCATCCTGACATTGAGTGCTGCAGTATCATGATGGTTTCACTGACTTGCTGCTGACTTTACTTTTTTTGTGGGTCTTATCTCTCAGGGAGGAAGCCTCCTAGAGACAGGGCTTATGCACTAGAATCCTGCACTTGGTGCCCTCCCTTGCTTCCTGCCCACCCCACCCCATTCATGTCACTGCCTCCCCAAGTATCACTAACAGCAAGTATACAAGATTTGCTGAAAGGGATACCATAGGCTGGTATCCCTCTGGCCATTATAGTTATCTATCTCTGCTCTTCCTCGTGAGCCCTCTGGACAATAATACCAAGTAGGAAGTTCAGAACATGGGCTCAGGAGTCATAATGCCTAGATTTGAACCTTGCCATCCCCACTTGCTAACTATGTTGCCTTGGACAAGTTAGTTAATTTTCTTCTTCTTTTTCCTTCCTTTCTTTAACTTTTTTCTTTTTTTTCCTTTTTTTTTTTTGGTAGTAGTAGGTAGTGAATCCAGGGGTGCTCTACCAGTGAACAACATCCATGGTCCTTTTTACTTTTCATTTTGAGAGAGGCCTTGGTAAGTTACTGAGGCTGGCCACAAACGTGCAATCCTGCATTAGACTTTCAGGTTGCTGGTATTACAAGTGTGTGCCACTGCTCCTCGAAGTTCATCTTCTTAAGACAGAGTTGGCTTATTATAAAAAATGACAATAAACATTAAAATAAGTAAGTTAGGTTTAATTATACTTAACTGATTTAATATGCTATTATTCCTACTTATTTAATAATAATAGCTACATTTATTTATTTTTCAGTATATGCCTGGTACTAAAATAAGGATCTCACATACATTGTCTTGCTTTTATCTCAAAAAAACTCTGTGACAAAATAAAATTAAAAAAGAAAAAAAAAACACAACTCTGTGAGGTAAGTACTATTATCATCTGTTTCATTTTATTTAGTTTAGTTTTGTTTGATTGTGGTGCTGGATCAAACCTGGGGCCTCAGGCATGCTAGGAAAGTGCTCTACCACTGGAGCTATACACCCAGTCCTGGTGGTGTTTTGTTTTTTTAGATGGGTCTCACTATGTGAGTCTTAGAGTTCAAGACCAGCCTGGACCAAACAATGCTCTCACCTCAGCCTCCAACATAGCTGGGACAATTGGCACGCACCACTATGCCTGGCATTATTTTATTTTAAAGAACTGATGCACAGAGAAGTTACATAACTTGCTCCTGATCACACAGCCAGTAAGCAGTAGAACACAATACAGTGACTGCATAGTCTCAGCTTTAAACTACAACATAGGGGTTGGCAAACTTTTCCAGAGAGTAAATATTTGAGGGTTTACAGGTTACAAGGTCTCTGTCACAACTGCTCAACTCAGCCAGTGTAGCACAAAAGAAACCCTAAGCTATACACTTAAAAAAAAGAGTATGTGTGGCTGTGTGCCAATAAAACCTTTAATGGATGTTAAAATGTGATTTCCATATGACTTTCATGGGTCATAGAATCTTCTTGTGATCTTTTCTTAATCATTTAGAAATTATATAATCATTTAGAAATATAAAGCCCATTCTTAGCCAACAGACTGGCAAGGGCCAGATTTTATCTGAAGGCTCTAGTTGGTGAGCCCCTGCTCTACACTTTACTGCATCCTTTTTAATTGTTACCTTTGTTTCCCTTAGGCCTTTCCAAATCCTTCCCATCCTTGTAGGTATACCATTTCCTTTATGATAGCCTTTCAGATACTGAAGCCTCAAACCATGGCCCCTCTTCTCTAATGGCCTATTATGTCACAGAATCTGAAGCACATAATCTAGTATTCCTATCAGGATTCTCATCAGTAACAAGAATGGAAACGCTTAATCTGTGGCTTATTAATGCCCTACCCTGTTACCCAGAAAAATGCTGAACATCCCCCAAGTTGGTTTTCTTCTCTATTCTTAATGCACTGAGATAATTTGTTAAAAGGATGTGTAACCCCAGTGTATATGCTTGGGAGAGGATATACACTGGGATCACACTTCTGAAGGAGTGGGGAAGGCATAAGTCATAAATTAAATCTGCGACTCCAGGGCAAAGAAAAGAAAGAAATTGTTGCTCCTGCTCTAGTGTTGATCCTTTCCTGGCTCATCTCAAAACTATCTGGCAAAACTGAAAGCTCCTAAATCTTACTATAATAATCATAAGTATGTACCTGTTTCTATTCCTAACAGTACATTTTGGTTATTTATTTGTCCATATATTTCCTAAGACTGGAAAATTATATGTCTATTTTCTTCACAATTCCTTTCAGGTGATCATTGCAATTCTTGTGCAAGTGATCATTCAGTACCCAATTACTGATACAGTCCCCTGGGGTTCCTGGAAACAGAGGTTTTGCAGGGTCTGAGTGAAGACTGAAGGAAGTTAGTGTTCTCAGGCCCCACAGATCTAGTCAGATCAGAAATTAAACTTATCTGTATCACATAGTGGCAGTTCTAATCAAGCCAGAGTGAGTTTCTAAAACATTACTCTTAAAAAAGGCTACATTAGGTTAAGAGAAGAAGCTAAATAACTGGTTACTGGAAATACAATTATAAGCCCTGACTATTCTGCTGATCTATCTCCACCCTAAGTAAGCTATCACTCTCTAGCTTGCCTGTCTCATCTATTTCTAAAGTCAAAAGAAGAGTAAGACAGGGCTGGGGATGTGGCTCAGGCGGTAATGCACTTGCCTGGCATGCACGGGGCGCTGGGTTAGATCCTCAGCACCACATAAAAATAAAATAACGATGTTGTGTCCATCGAAAACTGAAAAATAAATATTAAAAAATTCTCTCGGGGCTGGGGATGTGGCTCAAGTGGTAGCACACTCGTCTGGCATGTGTGCGGCCCGGGTTCGATTCTCTGCACCACATACAAACAAAGATGTTGTGTCCACCGAAAACTAAAAAATAAATATTAAAAATTCTCTCTCTCTCCCTCTCTCTCTTTAAAAAAAGATGTTGTGTCCACCGAAAACTAAAAAATAAATATTAAAAAAAATTTTTTAAAAATCTCTCTCTCTCTCTCTTAAAAAAAAAGAAGAGTAATATAACACCTTGAACAAACTAAAGACTATTTTTAAGGAAATTTGTATTTTGCTGAAAGGAGGAACATTTATTCACAAATTTATTATAAAGTCAGTCTTACCTGTTTTGTTCTATGTTGAGACTCCGTGGACAAATTATTGTATGTGTAATGTGCTTGTGTGATGCCACAAAACAATACTGCAACGACACCTATAAAGACAACAAATTCCAAGTTCACATAAAAGGATGGCTCCCAACTTTTAAACTGAGGCTTTTGTTTTACAAAGGCCAATTACATGCATGGTACCTATATTTTCATTTACTTTGAATTACTTTGCTGAGAGGAACAACTTCCATTGAATATTTTGTTGACATCCTAAAATGACAGCTTAAATCCCAATAAATATGTTCAAATATGAAGACGTTGATTCACTTGCAGAAGTGGCTTACTAAATCACTCTTTTATATAAGAGTTTACAATGAAAAGGAGAAAGTAACTCACCTGTGAAGCCCCATGCTTCAGCCAATAGAAAGGTACTCCAGGACATCAAGAAGAACAAGCCTGTCTCCAGCAACTGAAACTCCCGCAATTTGGTGAACTTTGTCACGTGAGACAGTTAAGCCTGGTAACGAGATCTTGGAATACAAATGTGTGACTAGAAAAATAAGCATCAAAGCAAGGCAACCATGAAAGCAAGAGAAGGGTTCTCTAGCCCTTCTAACACAAAAGCCACAGAATAAGGACACACTAAGGTGAAGAAACTTAGAATCAGCATCTTACTGAAGAGTCAGCTGTCCCTTCAGAGAAAGTGTCATGGCTTAGCCACTCTTATGAGTATGACATACCTTGCCAGAAACCACACAGTGGAGGACAGGCAGACAAGAGCAACAGATTGCACATACAACATGGCAACTTTGAAGCTGTGGTCCAAAGCAAGACAGATTCAAAAATTCTATCAATTTACACTTATAAAAACATGATTCCATGAGATTTCACATACATTTAACACATCTGTAATGTAGAGGATTCATTCCATAATGAAAAGACTGAGGCACTTAACTCACTTTATACAAGTTTAAAAAGTATTTTGCTGGTTGACAGTAGTAGAAGGATCTATGCCAAATTGTGACAAACTGTTGGGCTAGAATCTAGAGTTACTTCAGCAACTCTGTATCATGACAAAAAGATGAACAAGATATACTTCTTCTCTCAAAGGAACCCATAACAAGGAAGAGATACTATCTGTGCTGTCTCCTTCTTTGGAATTATTTTACTGTCCTTCATGTCTTAATTCACCTATAAAAAACACTAGAGAAGTCTCTTCCACCATGTATACCAAACAAAGAGATTCTCATAAAAAATATATTTGTTTTATATGAAAGTATCTTAGAAGATTTATAGCTGGAAACTCCTTAGAGAGCATCAAGATCCACTTAACTTTCCTCCTGTCCCCACCTTCCATTTTCCTACACTGAGATCCAAAGAGGCAAAGTGTCAATATGTCTATCATGTTTGCATCTACCACAACACCAGATCCTCCAGGCAGGTAGAGGCCACATTTGCCTTGTTTATCTTTAATACTCAGAGCATAGCAGTTGGTATGTAGCAGACAATCAGGAAATATCTTCTGAATGAAAATAAGAACGAACTGCCAGTATTTCTCATAGCTAACTAGTGGCAGTATTGGCTCTAGAGCACAAAGTTTAAAATTGGGAGATCTGGGATGAAATCCTCTATATCCTCACCAGGGAACCATATTTTGTTCATGTAACATCAGGTTGTATATCTCCTGTCTGTCCTATTAAACAAAGAGCAGAAGATTGCCAGGTTGACCAGCAGCATAGAATGCCCAGAAGCTCTTTGAAGTATATGTACCTTTTGTGTGTGTATGTGTGTGTGTATCTTCATATATGTACTTGGGGTAATGGTGTCCATCTCATTCCACCCTCTTTCCTACCATCCCTTTATATCAATTTAATCCACAACTTTAAAATTTTCTATCACAGGAATCTTGTGTCTAATTAGATTATTGTACAAAAGTTTTAAGGCACTGGGCCCTATGCAAAGCAATACAATTATTTAATTTTACTTATTGTCAAAGATAACTGCTTCAGATTTTCAAACCAAGCACTTGGTTACAAGGTTAATGATTATAATACAATTCCAATCATGGAGCTAGGAGAAATCAAGGATTACATGTTTAACTACCTTGTGAGGTTAACAAGAAAAGATAAACAATGATAAAAGGATATTAAAGCTGTCACCACTCCAGTAGCAGCACCCATTGCAAAAGATCCACTGAAGATCCCCAGGAAGATTCCAATAGACTTGAACATTGCTGTGACATCAAAGGTGTGACTATTGTCTCCAGCTGGCTGGTATGCCACTATTGAACTACAAAAAAGAGAATGCTCTTACTTCTAGAAGCAACTTTGCCTTTAAAACATTACTTAGTACAGAACTTGAAAGATGAAATGAGAAAAAAAAAACCCTTTGGGCTTGAATTGTCAAAATAAGGGCAAAAGGTTACAAAGGAAAAAAAAAAAAAACCTGCGTGTATCCAGCTAGCAAGAAAACTCAGCTTTTCTTAACTGGGCATGGTGGCGCACACACCTATAATCTTAGCAGCTTGGGAGCCTGAGGCAGGAGGATGGCGAGTTCAAACCAGCCTCAGCAAAAGCGAGGCACTAAGCAACTCAGTGAGACCCTGTCTCTAAATAAAACACAAAATAGGACTGGGAATGTGGCTCAGTGGTTGAGTGTCCCTGAGTTCAATCTCCAGTAACCCACCCTCCCAAAAAAAAAAACTCAGCTTTTTTTTAAACGACAATTTTAAGAGGTAGAACATTGTAAAGACCTCTACATAAAAGTTGTTCCAAACTTGTTCCTCCATCCTCAATTCTATGCAGTAGTAAAATTTTGAGATTCTGTTGAAGAACTACACTTACTGAGTGCCCCCAAACTCCAACACACTAATGGGAACAAACTAGTGACAAATCCCACTTGTTTCCAGCAGAGGCATACGAATATTATTCAATACTTAACCCAGTCACACTTTGTTTTTCCTATGGGAAGAAAAAAGGTGACTGAAGAGCTCTTCCAACTTTTAGAAAACCAGAATGGGCCAGATGCCTAATATCTATTCACTCACTAAAATGGACTTTTATAGGAAAAGGGCTTGAAAGGCCTTCCAAGAAATTAGAATCCATTCAACAGTACTTTGAGCATACCCAGTTGGATCCTCCACCCCAAACTTCTGAAAGAAAGTCACTCCATACCAAGCCAAGACAGGCAATTACAGGGGACACTCTCCATCTTGAATTCACAGTCCAAACCTGGTCTGAAAAAGCTTCTTTTATAATAGTCACCACAGGAAACAGAAATAGCTGAGAAAATTGCTCTTGTCAGCAGGTCTCTGCCAACAGTGCTTACTGGTTCTCAGCTCAGTTAATTGAGGTACCAGCATTATAAAAAGTCTAGACTCAAAAGCATCATGCAAGTCATGTCAAAGAAACAGAGGAAAAAAGCACATTCCTAAGAATATAATGAATCCACCCTGTGGTTACTGCCATTTTTTTCTTATGGTTCAAGGCTAAATAATGTGTTTTACTATACCATGTACAACAAGTTCTTTTCATACATGCCAAGTCAAATTTAAAAATAACTAAGACCAAACTAAAACTTTCTAAATTGTTGTCTATTTTATTGAAGTACATGACCGACATTAATTTCTGCTAGTGGCATCTACAAATTTCGGAGGCAATCTTAATTGAAAAATTTAAATATTTGTGTTTAAATATTTATTTGGGGTCCAGTAGATTTGATATTGTTTTGATAAGTATTAAATACCTTTAATATAATGCTACCTTACCTACACATAAAGGGTCCTACCATCATAAATGAAATCTAAACACATTATAGCATTAAAATATATAAACTGGTTGGAAAAACAAAGGATGTTGCGACAGTAACATTCTTTCTTCCTGGCAATATTTTCCAAGATGATAGCTGGGAAAAAATATCTATGCCATGCCTCATGAGGTTGCTTTGCCTGGATTAGTTCAAGTAAATTCAAGAGACACACTAATTATTATTTTGTTCTTTTTTTAAACTTTAAGAATTCTTCTTTTCAATATTTTTTTTAGTTGTAGACTTTTATATGTGGTGCTGAGGATTGAATCCAGTGCCTTTCAGATGCAAGGCAAGTACTCTACCCCTGAGCTACAAGCCCAGCCCCTATTTTATTCTTTAATCACTAAAATGTACAAGGATGCGTGGAAAACATGATAAGTTGAGGGGTTTATTTTCTTCTGTTTAAGGCAAATCCTGGCTTCTGATTTGAAATCTTAACTCACCTTCTACATCAGCCAACATTTTATCTTGAGGCGTTAACATTTTTATGCATACTTTTTTTTAATTCTGAAAGTCATACAATATTCAGCTGGGGAGGAAATCACCCTATCATTCTACTTTCCTGACAGATAAATATTATTTTCTTTATTTGTGTCCCCTCTTTTTGTCACATGCATAATATTTCACATTTAATTATAATCAGTGAATAAGCAATTTTGAATTCTGCTTCTTTAACCAACAGTGATCATGATTTTTAAAATTTATTTAACCATATGTCCATTGTTAGACATTTAGAAGACATTTTCAATATTTTTGTTTCTATAACAACAGCATGAAGGAATATCTTGGTGATTTTTTTTTTTTACATACTTTGGGCTATTGCCTTGTGCTACATTCCTAGAAATAGAGCATTACCATACCTATGGCTCTTTTTACATTTTGTTCAACTGCCTTCAAAAGGTCTTCACTGCAATTTTGGAGGGAAATAAAATAATATCTCCCAACTTTTTAAAATGATCATATCCATTATCTTAGAAATTCTACCTTTAAAAGTATCCTACTGGTAGACAGCTTATCCAGTATTATGGTTTGGATATGAGGTGTCCCCCAAAGTTCCTGTTAATGCAAGAATATTCAGAGGTAAAATGATTAGATTATGAGAGCTGTAACATGCAACATGGCTGGAGGAGGTGGGTCACTAAGGGTGTGCCCTGGAAGGATGTAACTTCCATGTGGCACCTTTCCTGCTTCCCTCTCTGTTTCCTTGCTGTCATGAAAGGTGCACCTTCCCAATGCAGTACCCTTCCCATATTGTTCTGTTTTACCTAGGGACCAGCGCAATGGAGTCAGCCATCTATGGACTGAAATCTGTGATACCTTGGGGCTAAATAAGCTTTTCTTCCTCTAAGTTGTTCTTGGAGGGTATTTTTTGTCACAGTGATGCAAAACCTAAATCACCCAGTGTGTATGAGGCCCTGTGTTAGATCCGCAGTACACAACTCACCCCCCCAAAAGTATCCTACAAAACAACAAAAGTTACCCCACACAAATACTCTCAAGGATTCAGAGATTTACACATAAATATGATCATCGCAATGGAAGTCATAGTAATGTGACATTTCAAAACACCAAACACTAGGCTGGGGTATAGCTCAGTGATAGAGTACTTGCCTAGCATGCATAAGGTCTTAGATTCTATCCTTAGCACTACAAAAACAACAAACCAACCTACTAAATGTTAGCCAACAGGGGATTGGTAAGGTAAATTTGTGGTGCATCCACACAGTGGGAAATTAGACAGTAAACATAGTACCATGTCCAAGTGAAATAAGCAAGATATAGAAAAGTATGTGTAGTACTATGCTTTTTGTTTAAAAAATTATGTTTGTAAGTATGTTAATATACTAATGAAGAGATGAAAATCCTGATTTTTTAAGCTGAAATTTCAGGAATTTTCTACTTCATAAGTCAACACTTAGAATTCTTATCACAAATATATGTTAAATTTTATTATCATAAATGGCAATTTAATGTTAACAGCAATGTATGAGTGGTCTAGTTTCACTACACCAGCATTTGTTTCTTTCTTTTCTTTTCTTTTCTTTTTTTTTTTTATTTGGGTACTGGGGACTGAACTCAGGGGCACTTGACCACTGGGCCACATCTCTAGCCTTTTGTATTTTATTTATTTATTTATTTTTTAAAGAGAGTGAGAGAGGGAGAGAAAGAGAGAGAAATTTTTAATATTTATTTTTTAGTTATCGGCAGACACAACACCTTTGTTTGTATGTGGTGCTGAGGATCGAACCCAGGCCGCACATATGCCAGGCGAGCGCGCTACCACTTGAGCCACATCCCCAGCCCTGTATTTTATTTAGATACAGGGTCTCAATGAGTTGCTTAGTGCCTCAATGTTCCTGAGACTGGCTTTGAACTCATGATCGTCCTGCCTCAGCCTCTCGAGCCACTGGGATTACAGGTGTGCAGCTACAACAGCATTTCTTGACCCCAGCATTTTAGGTATTTGTCCTGTACACTGAAGGTCTCTGAGATCCACTAGATGCTAGTAGTAACTCTCTCATCATGGCACCCGAAATGTCCCTAGACATTATCAAATATCCCTGGAGCAGGGGATAGGACTGCCCCCAGTTTAGAATGACTAACTGCACCATTACAAATGGTAATTTTAATCATTAACAATTTTTTCTTACTAATTAAACAGGTAAAAATGGCCACAGATTAACATGTATACCTCTAGGAACTAGTGATGTTAAACAGTTGGTCATGTTTATTTACTCACTGTAGTTCCTTTTTATAAAATGCAAACCACTGCCAAAAATGTTTTAAAGTAGTATGAAATTACGTCTTCAGGATAACTGGGTTCATTCAATGAAATACTATGCATCCTATACTGTATCTTTAACTAATTAACCAACTAGATACACACACGTATACACACACACACCATACTATGTCAGTATGTACAGATTTACCTCATACAGCAATGTATGAGGGAACCAGATTAAAAGTACTAACTTAAAAAAAAACTGCTGGGCTGGGGTTGTAGCTCAGTGGTAGAGCACTTGACTAGCGTGTGTGAGGCACTGGGTTTGATCCTCAGCACCACAAAAAATAAATAAGTAAAATAAAGGTATTGTGTCCATCTACAACTAAAAAAATATTTAAAAGAGAAAACTGCTAATCTAATAAGATGCATAAAAGCAGAAACAAAAACAACTTGCAACATAAATTTCAAGTGTTGTCTTAAACCTGTTAATTGCCAAACCTAACTCCTTTGGAAAGAGGTCCTCTCCCCTTTGATGCAAAACTGCTTATACAGAATATGAACAGTAGACAATCAGCAAATGAAGAAAATGCAACATATAGTATTCATATCTATCATACTTAAAAACACTTCATACTTTAAAACTTACTTCAAAGGGAAATTAAAGATAGTGACCAAAATATCACTGAGTACTCCAGATAGTAACCTCCCATAGGCAGCAACACAACTGTATTCCCTTCAGCTTTTGGGAAGGAACCATTTGCTCAACTCCATTAATACACTTATACAGCTAATGATTCCCATTAATGAAACACTCTAGATACAGTCCTTTTCCACAGGGTTCTACCAGACAATTTAATGAGTTAACTTATCTCCTATCAATCCAGAATGATACCAACTATACACTATCCTTAGCAGAATTAGGGAAAGAATTACACAAGGCACAGCTGCACACACCTGTAATCCCAGCTACTCAGGAGGCTGGGGCAGGAGGATCCCAAGTTCAAGGTGAGCCTCAGCAACTTAGACTCTCTCTCAAAATTTTTAAATTAAAAGGGCCAGGGATGTAGCTCAGTGGCAGAGTGCTTGCCTGGGATGCTTGAGGCCCTGGGTTCAATACCCAGTATCAAAAACAAAAACAAAAGATTTGAGGGAACTGTGCAAATCTTTTTCTGTAGTACTTCATTTTCTCATAGAACCCTGTTTGAGAAAGGGGGCAATAAGATAAGTGTGACCCTTTTTATGGAAAGGAGTTTTTCTTCTTAACATATTTATTCTTCACTAATACTGACATTTATACAGCCAACCTCAAAACATTTCAATGAGGATTTTTTTCTTCCTTTTACATTAGTCAACTACTCCCAAATTGCAGAAAATAGGTCACTTTATTATTGAAAACACTAAAGCATAGTGCACAGTTTTAAGATAAGACCAGAACAAAACAGATTTTTTTGACCAACTCTTAATCCATTAGGACAATGAAAAGGAACACTAGTAAGATGATTCAATAGAATAAATGTTTACGACAGAGAACTGATGCTAAAAGCAACTGCCTATACCTTAGTCTCTCACTTGATCTCAAATGTACGTATGTACTAGAAGCTCAATAATCTCTGTAGCTTCATTTTTTAGGACACAAATTACAACAACACTCTCATTTCTTCCTCCATTCATACATGACTTTTATTTTATAGCTACCATCATCAAAGGTATGGGGTCAATATTAGTTACAACCTTTGCATTAAAAATTAAATTTATAATAGCTGTAGATAGCTGCCAAAAATTCTGGCAATAAACGTGGAACGGAGGAAGTAACACATATACTGTATTCACACACAAAAAAAGGATTTGACCTTTTGTATTTCATCATACACAGCATTTAAGAGATGAGTGTTATAGTTCAGAAAGGTAATTTCCCACTTTGCAGTAAGGTCACCAGTGGCAATCATGCTATGCAAACCACAGTGAATGACTTATCACTCTTAAATATTTATAAAATAGAAATTAAGGAAAGATATAAATAGAAAATGTGAAGGGATTGTACTTCTCTCTTATAGAAAGTTCTGGTATGAAGTAATAACAACTGTCTACATGGTTAAATATTTGCTTAGTAAGAATAGTTAGGCAGGACTGAGTTCCTTAGCAGTTCAGACCTGGTCTTCCCCCAGCAAACACCTTGTAATAACATGTATAATAATATTTTCACCTAAATGTAGAAATTACTCATTCAATAACTGTCTTGAACAAAAGGTATATTAATACTTTTAGAGATAAAAGGATTCTGGCCAGGTACAGTGGTACATGTCTGTAAATCCCAGCAACTGGGGAGGCTGAGGCAGGAGATAAACTTCAGAGGTAGAGCACCCTGGGTTCCAAACTCGGTATTAAAAAAAGATAAAAGCTTTGGAAATGATCATGTTAATGAGAGAAATACAAATTAAACTACAATGAGATATTACTCAACTTTCAAGCTGCCAGAAATACAAAATGTTTGACAAATATTCTATTGAAGAAGCTGTGAGGAAACAGTCTCAGAATTTAGTGGCAACAATGTAAAGTGGTATGATCCCTTTAACCATTTAGCAACTTTTAACAAAATTACAAATGTATTTATGCATTTACTCTTTAAACTAACCACCATCTCACTTTTGAGAATTTATCATACCATGTACCTATGCATGTACAAAACAAAGAAAGTTCAAGGTTAATCACTGAAGCATCATATGGGACAGCAAAAGAATGAAAATACTTCCAGCATCCAGCAATGAGACTGAAAAATAAATATAGTACAGTTCACACACAGAATACTACATAGCTGCTCCACCACTCCTCAGTTTATACACAAAGGACTTAAAATCAGTATACTACCAAGACACAGCCACATCAATGTTTATAGCAGCTCAATTCACAATAGCTAAACTATGGAACTGACCTACATGCCCTTCAACGGATGAATGGATAAATAAAATGTGGTATACATACACAATTGAATATTACTGAGCCTTAAAGAAGAATGAAATTATGGCATTTGCCAGGAAATGGATGAAACTGGAAAATATCATGCTGAGCCAAAGAAGCCAATCCCAAAAAACCAAAAGCCGACTGTTTTCTCTGATATGCAGATGTTAATACACAATAAGGTGGGGGGCTAGGGAAGAATAGAGGTACTTTGGATTAGATGGAAGGGAGAGAGTATGGTGGTAGGAATGATAGTAGAATGAATTGGACATTATAACTCTATGTGCATATATGAATACACAACTGTTGTAACTCTACATCATGTACAACCAGAAGAATGAGAAGTCATAGTCCATTTATGTATGATGTGTAAAATGCATTCTATTGTCATGTATAACTAATTAGAACAAAAAAGAATATTCACATTTGTGTTTACATTTGAATAAAGAAATACTACAATGTGCAAGAAACTAATAAAAATGGTTCACTCTAAGGGACTAAGAAGAGAGGGAGGTGAGGACAAAAGTTAAGGACATGATTTTTCTGTATAAATTGTTTTATATAGTTTTTATTTTTTAACCATGTGGATATATCATCTGTTAAAAAATATAATTAAAAAAAAGTGTTCATGTTATAATGTTAAAAGAGATTACAAAATTACATAAATCCCACAATCACAATTATGTAAAAATATCATACATAGAAAAAAAAAAAAGGAAATGTCCTAGAATATTTACAGTAATTGTTTTTAGGTGATGCGAGTACATGATTTTTTTCTTCCCTGCCTTTACAAGTTATCTATAAACTATGCATTTCTTCATAAGAGGGAAAAAAAAACTTTGTTCTTCCAAATATTTCTATTTATAATGAATTTTATTCACTAAGTGATTTTCATTTCCTATTACTCTCAACTGTAACATTTAGAATATAATAAGAAAACAAACACTTACGAGGAAAGCACTATGGCAACAGCATCATTGAGGACACTTTCACCAAAAAGAAGTGCGTAGAGTTCAACGTCGACTTGAAGCTCATGGAATATGGCAAGAACAGTCACTAACAAGTAGAAAGAATCAGAAAAATATTTAAACGTCCCAAATATAACATATTCCCCTCAAGAGTTGATTCTGAGCTATTTAGAAATTCATTTCTTCCTTTTTAGTATCTCTCATCATATCAATGATTCAGTGATTTGGTCATTATTTCTCCCTAATTGTGTACATGCAACTTCTCCTTTTTGATTATCTTAAAAACAGCTGAAAATAAACTTCGAGAACTGAGCTGGCCTACATTCTTTATGCAAATGTTAATAATTTGGCTTCGTACATTTCCTTTTCACAAAGAATATATTAAGAATTTCTTATAGACCAGGTAATCATTAATCTTTAATGAAGACTAGCATGAAAAGCATCTCTTGCTGCAAATACTCTTTTTTTCTCCTTGGAGCCTTAAAACTCACTTTTATTTGACTTGCAAATTGCAAGCACGCTGGTTTAGCAAAGACAGTAGGAAATAAAAACACCAAGTTCAGTTTTTAGTTGGGGTAAAATTCATGACCAGGATTACAGTTGCCACATTTAATGGAAAAAGAAGCCAACTCACAGGATATTACATCCTGAGAAGGAAAAGAACCAACAACAAACCCTTCTTTTGGGGAAGCAATATATATAATTCTCAGAAAATCAGATAAGGTTGAAAAGTTCCATTATAACTTTAAATGCTGAGTCACATAGAGCTTACCCACTAAATAAACTCAAGCAGACATGAAAGATTAATATAACCAGAGATGGGAGAGCCATTTTCAAATGCCAACCATAAAAACAGGAAACTTGCATTTTAAAAGATATAACTTCTACTGCAAGGCATTGTAGCTGGAATATACTGATACCAAAGCTTATGAAGATAGTGAGAAGGGTGGGACAATTCAGAATTCTGAAAAGAGAACCTATAGCTCATCCTTATAGAAAATTAACTACTGCAAAATAATAGAATTGTGGCCAGTGCCTACTACATAATTCAGAAAAAATATGTAACTGTCCAACTTTGTATAAGCAAAAGATTCTTGCTTGAGCTATTCAGGCAGCACTCCCACCAAACTAAACCAAAAGGTGGAAGTAATGTAGTGAGTCCAATCAACTTAAGATTTCTTACAGGTTTTGAAAAGTCGAGGAACTTACTTCTACAGAACACAGAACCTAGAGATCCTTGCAAAAACCAACCTGCCTTCATATTGATAATGGAAGCAGCTACAAGCAATAAGGGGTCACCCATGGTTGTCTTTTAAAAAGCAACCTGATTTCCAGTTTTAAAAATGCTTACTAGGGGCTGGGGACACAGCTCAGTTGGTAGAGTGCTTGCGTCACATGCATAAGGCCCTGGGTTCAATCCCCAGCACCATACATTAAAAAAATGCTCAACTATGTAAGTGTCTAAAATGGCCCTCTAAGTAATCTTTTAAAATCATCTCTTAGTAGTACAGAACAAATTTTCCTCTTTCCCATAGTGTCCGGTGTAATCAGTTATTAACGTAGGAATTCAGAGACAAAACCTTGGACCCTACCTTTAATTGTACTAGATGACAATTTAAGATGATTAACTTAAAGGTCAAAAGGTAGAAGAGAACAAACCTCTACTAAACTCTTAACTCACAGTGAAAGAAAACTTGATCCTTACTTCAAAAATCTCCCTCTAGGAGCTGGGAGGTATAGCTCTATGATATAATATTTGCCTAGCATGTGCAAGGCCCTCAACTGGATCCCACAAACAAACAAACAAAAAACTTCAGACTATGTTCCTATACTGACCTTTTCATTCTACATTTTCTCCAAATTCCTAATATGAATGTAGCTGTTAAGCTTAGCAATATATATTAGGAAAATGAAAACCTCACTTAATATAATTAAATTATTTATGGAACACAAATTTTTAGTGTCCTGACAGTAAAAGTATAGGGAAGCAAGCTGTGTTAATACCAAAACAATTATATAATCACAAGGCCAATTTTATAAAAGTAATTATTTAATGTATACATAAGACCACCAGTGGGGTCTGGGGTTGTGGCTCAGTGGTAGAGCACTTGTCTAGCATGTGTGAGGCACTAAGTTTGATTCTCAGCACCACATATAAATAAATGAATAAAATAAATGTCCATCAACAACTATAAAAAAATAGACCACCAGTGACCAAAAAAACATACTATTATCAGCACATCTGCCTTCTAACAATAATTTTAAAACTTCTTTCTTACTGTTAAATGCAAATGGCTGAATTAGACAGATTTTTAGTGAACTAGTTTTCTAGAAGTTTAAAAAGAAGTGTATAATTATTACCCATTTTAACAATCTAAAAAGTATTTCATCTTCTCCTATACCCAATCACTAATGATAGAGATCAACCTAAATTTCTGAAGAAAATATCTTACAGCTCTCATCTAGACAGCATCAATTTGTGGCCAGTAATAGGCAAATGTAATAAATGAGACAAAAATAAATGTGCACTTAAGCCAAAAGAAATTACGGACAGTAATTTTTCTTCCACAATTGGAAAGCTTAGTGCTAGGGAAATACCTAATCAAAAATTCTATGCTTCAAAGAAACACCCACAGTGCTTTGACTAGAAAACACTGTACCTAAAGTACTTAAAGTCCCCGCTTGTAAAACATACCTGGGTCTGTTGCTGATACAATGGCACCAAATAGAAGGCAATCTGTAAAGTAAAAATCTCCAGCAAGTTGTCCAGTTACCTTCATCAGCGTTACACAGCCATACATTATTGATCTGTTCAATAAACATATTCTTACTTTAGAAAAAAATCACTGTTAAAAAAGTTAGAATAAAATAAGAGTAAGAAGATGGATCTATTATAGTATTCTGTGGTTAACCCCAAATTTAAATCATGACTTTTAAGTATGGTTAATACCTTGGTCTTGAAAATGTAAACTTATTACCTGTTTGAATACATCTTACTGCAAAAGTCCTTAGACATATTCAGAAATACAGTCCCAATACCCATAAATCAAAAATGAATTATTTTACAATTATAATTTGAAGGCTTAAAAGTATTTCAAGTTTCAAATGCTTACCCAATAACAAAACAAGAAATTGCTGTTCCAAGAAAAGCATATGCCAGAATAGACCCGAGGTTCCGAAAGAAATGTCTCTGAAAAAAAAAGTTACACTGTATTAGCATAGAATACTCCCCAAATGTTTGAAAAAGAAAAGGTTTTCTATTGTAGTGTGCTATGTTAATATTAAAAACATTATTCAGTAGAAGAAATCGGTAAAAGAATGCATTCTTGAATAAGGATAAATTTCATCATCTAAAAAAGATAGAAGGGAGGGGTACCTGGAAAAAATGGCCTATTTCTAAAGTGTCAAATATTATAAAGCCCATGGAAAGTTTAAGGTTATTCAAAGTATATAAAATGTAGTACTTACCCTTTTCAGACTATAACCTGCATAAAAGATGATAGGAGGAAGTAATATGTTGAAAAATACTTCTGGATCAAAAGTAACCTGTTAAAATAAAGAATTATGTTAGATGCATTCTCTTAGAAGACCTTGTACTACATTATCAAACTATCAAAAAGAAAAAAAATTAACTGCACAATGGTCAACAACATTACTATGGTAACTTAAAAATATTTCATATAGGGAATCTAATACTTGCCTGTCTTAGGCACATATAGGATGGTTTGTTGTTTTACTTTTCAACCAAATGACAAGGCTATGGTGTTGGAATAATCATTTAAGTCACATGTGAGGAAAGTTTGTTAAAATACTGTATTAAAAATCTTAGAAATAGGAAAACGCATGAATATAGTTTTGCTTTAAATAAAAAAGAGATCCAAAACTGGTAATATAGAATTTAAGGTATGTCACTATTGTTGGCGAGAGGAAACCAACTTGTTACATAGGTGACATCTCTTAAGCTATACAACATATTAAGGTAAAAACTTTCTGGACAGTTCCAATATTTAGTCCTGATAGCCCACTCATTTTAAAACCTATTTGCTTTAATAATGCAGACACCCACTTCTGTCCATAAGGCTGCAGGAGAATTTGATATGAACACAAAGCAGCTACACACATACCCGTGCTGAAACTTAGTTTACCGGAACTTTATTTTTCGGCAGTGCTAGCAATTGAATCCAGAATTGCTCTATCACTGAGCTTTTTCAGGTTTTTTTGCTATCTTAAGACTGGGTTTTGTTAATTTGCTAAAGATGGCCTTGAAGTTGTGATCTTCTTGCCTTAGCCTCCTGAGTCACTAGGATTACAGATGTGTACCACTCTGCCTGGCAGTTTACTAGAACTTTTAAAGAACTAGAATGGGTGGTGATAATTCTTTTTGCAAAGTGAACTTTAAGTTTATAGAAAATTTTATTTTATTTATTTGTGGTACCAGGGATCAAACTCAGGAGTGGTCTACCAATGAGCTATAACCCAGCCTCTTAATTTTTTTTTTTTATTTTGAGAAAGGGCCTCACTAAGTTGCTGAAGCTGGCCTCAAACTTGTGATCCTCCTGCCTCAGCCTCCCTAGTTTTTGGGATTACAGGTATGCACCACAGCTCCCAGCTAAATTTCATAGGAAATTTTAAATGGGCAGGAAAACAATCAAGTAGCTATAAAAATCAAGGACAACCAATGGAGAACATAGGAGATGTTGAGGCAAGTGGCCAAGCATGGACAAAACCAGACACGCACAAACTGGCACTGAGAAGCTTCATAAGAGAAACTATAAGTGGGGCAGAAGCAAGCAGCTCCTCAAATGTCTGGAAGCCAGTATGAATGCAACTCCACCTCTTACATAAAGCATTATGTACAGCACTGCCCAACAACCAAGGCTCATACAAAGGCCACCAAAATTGTGCCACATTATAAATCCAAGAGAGGTTAAATTGTGCTCAGTGTATAAATCAACTAACGCAAGAAAGAATTAAAGAAATACTAATGGAATATTTTAGGCAGTATCAAATAACCTCAAAGCTCTAAAGTACTCTAAAACTGTAAAGACCATCAGTAAATTGAGAGAAATGCTTATAAATTCTGCTTAAATCAATCCTAGTCACTATTTATTACAATTGTAAACAACACAGAATAAAACAAAAAAGTTTTTAGTACTTAGCATCAATCAGGATATACAGAAATATTCACTTCCTTACATTATTATATTAACTGAGGTTTTACTGCATTTTAAAAAGCGAATCATTTTAAATATTAAAAATTCACTATTTTTCTTCAGAATCACTTTGCTGCTGGTTAAAAATCCAAATATTTGGATTAAAAAAATCCAAATATTCCCTTTAACTAAAAACTTACCTTTCTAAGCATTTCATTATCTTGAACATTATTGAGTTCATGTGAGCTAATCTCTCCTTTCAGCGTATACTCATAAAATTTTCCACTCACATTTACCAACAAGGTAGTTGGACTTGACTGCACTTCACAGCTCAGGGTCACATTATTTACATCACTTGGAACATGAATGCCATACCGAAGCACAAGGCCCACCAAAAGACCTGAAATAAAAGAACAATGTAAGCTCTTCTTGCAGGCAGAGACCACCTGTTTGTATTTCACACATACCTCTGGATTGATAACACAAAATCTCTGATGATATTCCCTTGTGATCCAGAACCAATTTTTAGACCAAATACAGTTATAACTTAAAGTATTACTAAATTCACATATCCAAATGCCTAATCTTCATGTAATCTAGTAGGACAGGAGAGAAAACGATTTCCCAGGGTAACAGCATTTCTAGATTAATTTCCCAGGGTAACTGCATTTCTAGATTAATGTATAAATAAGTGTTGAGGAAAGGAAAAAATTAGAAAATATCTTCAGATCATCTGTACAATGGAATATGTTCCAAGCTGTCCAAACTTGATAATGTAGTCATATTAGAAATGCGTTTTTTTTTTTTTGCCTCCATCAATTTACCAGACTTAAGTGCATGCTTCCCAAAGTTCAATCCCAAAGCATATGGCTGGCCTAATATACATTTAACAAATTAGAAAGTCAATATATTATTTGTAGATTAATTGAATTCTTCTATTCAAAGGTCAGATTTAAATATTAAAATGTCTGCTTCAAATCAAAAGATGGAGTACAAGTTCTGTAATCAACATACTGCTAGGATTTCACCTGGATTATTCCATTGACATTCAAATAAGCACAGTGTACTAGGTTAGGTTCTATAAAACTATATTGATCAACTAGAAATCTGTTTAATAATAGCTTTGCTGATATAATTCACATGATATAAAGTTTATCCTTTTAAGTTATACAATTCAGCGGTCTTCAGTATATTTACAAAGTTGTGTATCAATCACCAGTATCTGATTCCAGAATGTTTTCATCTTGCCAAAAAGAATTAGAATACTCCCTATTCCCCTCACCTCTAAACCCCCCAGGCTCTTGGCAACTACTAATCTACTTTCTTTCTCTAAGGATTTACCCATTCTGAACATTTTATATAAATGGCATTCTACAACATGCCTTTTGTGTCTAGCTTCTTTTACTTAGTATAAGGTTTTCAAGGTTAATCTATGTTGTACCATGTATCAGAACTCCATTTTTAATGATCAAGTAATATTCCATCAACTACAAGCTGAACCCATCCAAACTTCTGAAACTTTCTTAATGCCAAGATGCATCATACATCACTATTAGTTACATTTTACCTTCCTGTGGCCTTTCATTCTGACCAGCCAAACATTCTTTTAAGATGTGAATGGAGTCCTATGTTAGGGAGGTCCTGGGGTTCAGAGATGTAAAGAAATCCCTCCTTCAAGGAGCTCTCAGTCCAGTTAGTGAAAACAGACTGAATAATCATAATAAAAATATATACTTGTATGCATAAAAATGATATCTTTTTACCAAGAGTGAGGTAAAGGACATTAAAGAAAGTCTTTCCAGAACTGTCATCTGAGCAGGTAACAAAATAGAAGAAAGGATGTATTTCAGGTGGAGAAATAGTTGTATATATCTAGACAAGGAAGAGAACACAGCCCATTCAAGGGAATTACAAGTAGTTCAGTATGGCTAACTTATGTGGTAATAAGAGATAAGGTTTAAAAGACCAGCAGGAGGGGCTCAGTGGTATAGCTTGCCTGGCATGTGTGAGGCCCTGGGGTTTAATCTTCAGCACTGCATGCATATAAATAAATAAAAATAAAATAAAAGATCCATTGACAACAAAAAAAAATTTAAAAGATAAGCAGGAGCTGAATCATGAAGGATGACATATATTGGGGAGAAAGTTTGGAGTTTATCCCAGAAGCAAAAGGAAATCATAGAAGGGTTCTAAGCTGGGGCTTGATATCAGATTACTATTTTTGAAAAAAAAAATTCTAGACTAGAGAGGGTCTAAAAGGCCAGCTAGATGGCCACTGCAATCATTCAGGCAATAAGAGCTTTTAGGTAGGGAATAGTATACACTGGATCGTATACATTTCTATATATTTATATATTTTTATCACAATCAGAGTAGTGATAGAAGAGAGATGGAGTTTCAGAAGGTATTATATAGTTTAGAAAGATTCAGTGACTAAAAAGAAAAGGTTAGGGGGAAGGGAGATGAAAGACTTAAGATTTACAGGAGTCATAATGGACTGGGCAACCAAGTAGATAAGCTATCTTGAGCACCTAGTTAAATTGTAGGGTCAGTCAATGGAGTACGAACACAGGCAGAATGTATTTACACAGGAAAGGCTAAACTCAGGTTTGACATGCTGAGTTTAATGTACCTATGACATATGCACAGAGGTCTGGAGCTCAAGTGGGAAGTCGTAACTGCAGACATATACTGGGCAATCATAAATTAGTAGAAGTCAGGCTCAGATGAGATCACCTAGAAGCAAAGAAAATATCAAGAAGACTACAGATATAAGCTCAGGATTTTTATCCATTAATAGACAACAATGAGAGGCTGGTAGAGGAGGAACTGAGGGATGAAATCTATGGAGGAAAAGCCACAGGAGAAGAAAGAGGAATGAGTGGTAGCTAAGAATTCAAGAAGAAAGGGAATAATTTATTTTTGTGCAGGAATAAGTGATAAAAACTATCAAATGCTACAGCAAAGTCAAGTAAGGCTGGCTTGAGAAGTAACCACTGTGTTTGACAAAAAAGAGAACACAGTGACCTTGATAAGGTTTCAGTGGAATAGTGAGGGTAGAATCCAGACCAGCGTGGGAAGGAGTAAAGCAGAAACAGGGTTATAAAAGCAGTAGTTGTCCAGGAAAGAAGGAGGGAGCAAAGATACTGGATCCTCTAGTCAACTTACAGTCACACATGCTTTTTTAAAGTAAGCAACAATGATGAATTATTTAACAGTACAATGACATCAACTTTAAAAACATTTTATCCAAAGTTAAGATGTAACATAAATGAAAGATTCACTTTTTTAAAAGTTGCACCACAAAAAATAAAATTAAAAAGTGACTGCTAGGTATTAACTATCCTTGACAAATATAATCTGGGAGAGAAAAGACTAAAGATTCAAATAGTCTATTCTGCCTATATGATATAGAAACATCTCTGTGTCTTTTATCCCAAGAATTCCTAACTAAGCGGCTTAGTAAAAGTTATTCCCTTATATTTGCATGCAAAAAAAATTCACAGATTAGCTACTACAAATATAATAAATTAGTGGCACAGCATAAATTCTTTCCACATCCTCAAACCCATTTAGGTAGGGAATAGTATACACTGGATCCTATGCATTTCTAGCCCTATGCTGAAACATCACTGGGTGCCCCATGATGGTTTAAATATGAGATGTCCCCCAAAAGTTCATGTGTGAAACAATGGGAGATGATTGGTTATGAGAGCCTAAACTAATCCGTGCATTAATCCTCTGATAGGGATTAACTGGGTGGTAACTGTAGACAGATAGGGTGTGGTGTAAAAAGGTGAGGTTCTGGACATGCCTTTGTTATATTTTGTCTGTGATGGCAGAAGTCTTACCTCTCTGCTTCCTGGTACCATGTCTCCAGCTGCTTTCCTGTGTGATACTTTTCCATGACTACAGTTTTTCTTATCTCAGGCCCCGAATGGAGTTGGCCACCTATGGACTGAGACCTCTGAAACCACACACCTCAAATAAACTTTTCCTCCTCTAAATTTGTTCTTCTCAGGTCTTTTGGTCACAGTGGTGAAAAGGTAACTAAAACATGCCTGAAAAGGGCGCAATACTTGCACAGATTTGAAACACATACCTTGGCATATAAAACAACAGCATGGAGAATAATTATTTAGGTTGGAAAAATAGAGATCCTTCTATTATGATATCAGGCATCTGAAAAATTGTAATCCTCAGAAAAGAGTTGACAGAGAAATTTAATATGGGTTCTTTGAAAGGTCAAATCCTAATCATGAAGTGAAAGCAATTTTCAATAAAGAAAAAGGACACAAAAAAGGGTGCTTTGTTAGGATAGAGCAAAAACTTCTAGCCTCCCACGTACACAGAGGCACAGAAAATATTGATATTATAGAATTTAAAATTACCACTAACAGGCACCAAGGATTATAACCACAAAGAGATATCTTTCACAAAACGGAGACATCTACCCCTCCTACACATTCATGACCCACTTGTGCTGGAAATTCTCCCAGTGATAAGGAACTCAGCTTCACCCAAGGTACCACCATCGTATGTATCAAACTTCCACTTAGCAGAAACTGGTTTTCTAGTGAATTTCAGCCCATCCTTCTAGCCCATTGCACTTGAATCCCCCAACAGTCAAAAATAAAGAAGGAACATCACTGGAACATTAGGTGTGGCCAAAACTGATAAAATTTCTATAGATTAAGATGTATTTGTGCATGTGTATAAAAACATTCATTACTTACTTGAAGAATTCCATTAGAGCCTATATAAAAAGTTAATTCAAGAGCTGGGGGTGTAGCTCAGTGGTAAAGCACTTGCCTTGCATGTATAATGCCCTGGGTTTGAATCCCAGCAAAGAAAAAAGAAAACTAATTCAAGATGGCCAAGAAAGTCAAGGCTTTTGCTGATCTTAGTTTTACGTACATTTATTCATTTCTGTCTCCTAGCACATTCACAATAGGGCTCTTCCAAGTTTTAATCCTCCTTCTCAAGTTTTCAACCCCAATGACTACTTTTCTGAGAAGCTGGGGAGGGGTGAGTTTTGACACCACCTTCCTCAATTCCAAGCCTCTCCATCTTAATATAAGCACATTAATCTTCATCTCTCCTCTTAGGAAAGATAAACATCTTTTTCAAGAAAACCTTTTCACCTAGGACCTTGAACCAATTCCTGTTTTATTTCTACAAAGAAATAATATATTTATACTATATATACACACACACATATATAATTTGAGACTTATAATCTTGGGACAGATACTATAATTCTGTCACTGTTTCTTCATCTATGAAATGAGGATAAATGAATTACCCAACATTATTTGTCATCTAATGACAAAGTCAGAATTAAAATTTAGACTTTCCTCACTCCAAAGCCACTATAATTTTCTCATTTTCTCCTTACTCTCACATCAACATGAACTGCTTCTCTAGTGTTTCTTTGAAAACGCAGATGATTTGGGTCTCCATTCACTCACAGTCTTCCCTTACAATCTACCTTCAAAGCCCTTTCAACTTTAAGTATTATTTTCTTATATATTTTATTTTATGAAATTGAGTATAGTACAGTACAGGACAAAAAGCCTACATTTAGAAGTCAGACAGATGTATAAATTGTGGCTCCATCAAGTTCTAATCGGTAACCTTAAGGTAGATAACCCCTCATTGAAGCTATCTCCTCATATGCAGTGGTGATAATTCTAACTCATCTGTCTTTACAGTTAAGTTTTATCTCTTTGCCGTGAAGCAATGTGATTTAAGAGCTAAGAAAATGGGTCTTTTGAACTAGATTGAGTGGGTTTGAATCCTGGCTAAATATGTCTAAGTTATGTGACATAACTTAACTTCTCTAAGCCCCAATTTCCTCATCTGTTAAATGGGAAAGATAATAGTGCCCATCTCTTAACAGCGATGTTAGGAAGTGTAAATGAAATGATAATTGCAGTTATACATGGTATACCTGTAATCCCAACTACTTGGGAGGCTTAGGCAGGAAGGTGGCAAATTTTAAAGCCAGCCTAGGCAACTTGGTGAGACCCTATCTCAAAATAAAATTTTAATTAAGGGATAGGGATGTAGCTCAGTGGTAGAGCACTTACGTAGCATGCCAGTTAGATCCCAAGCACTGCAAAGAAAAAGAAATACTTGCAAAGCACTTAGCACAATGTCTAACATGTTGTAATGCCCATAAATATTATCTATTAAGTCACTGGATTGTAAGTACTTTGTGGGCAGGACTCAGACCTGTATTTCCCATCATATTTCATACATTATAGACATTTAATAAATGCTTATTAATGAATCACACTAGTTAAGCCTAGACCCCATATTCCCTAAACTTAAGGCAAAACAAATAGTTCTTCCATCTTTTGCTTTGTATACTATCTGGAAAATACAATGGTGAATGATCATTTTTTGGACTTAATTAACTACCTCAATAATTTTTACTAACAGTGACTCACTCTTAAGCCTTTTAAGAAAGCTAGCCCAATGAACAAAAACACGTGGGTGCTTTGACATTGTGTTTGTAATGGGAGCAATTAGTCTATATTACAAACTAGAAACTGACCACATTAGTGATCTAATTTTTTTTACCCTTGATTCTCAAAAAAATAAAGAAAAGGTTCATTTTAAATAGAATTTTCCCAGGAGTTAAGCAGCTAAACCAACATTACAGGAATAAATCACCAGTAGGCTAAACCTTGGAGGTACACCATTCTCTTTTCACCAAGTCAAGCTGAAAAATAAAGGTCTTGAAATGATATAGTAACACAACAGCTATGACAGTGCAAGAGTCATAAGAAGAGACAAATGACAGTAACTAGCGTTAGAAAATTTCAGTTTCCAATGTCGAAGATACTTTGGCCCAATCCCATCTATACTTGAACTGGACTTGAGAGTGAGTTAGTGGGCAGGTACTGTGGCTCAGTGGTAGAGCGTTTGCCTAGCACCTATGAGGCGCTGGGTTCGATTCTCAGCACCACATATACATAAATAAAAAAAATAAAAGCATTTTTTAAAAGAGAGTTAGTTAGAAGGCTGTTTAGTTCACAGCCCTTGCTATCCACAGTGAGAAAAGGAACAGCCTAAAGAATGCCAAATCAATCCCAGATTTGACTCTCAGATTTACACTCTTGCACTTCATATTCCACAAGCGATATCTTTGTTTTTTCTTCATAAGTACTCTATCACTTTTATTAACTTAGAAACTTCAGGAAATACCATCAGTAATCTTACTTTTTTTTTTTTTTACTTCAGCCCACAAATTAGATGAAGTTAGTGATATCAGCTACAAAGAGCAAATATTTTCAGGGTAATTCAAAGTCCCTATTTGATTAAAAATTACTATGTTTGCCCCTTATAAGACTGAGCAATTAAATAACTATCCTCAGCCTAATCTTATAAAATTCAATTTTATAAGTCATTGGATTGCACAACTATCATTTATTAAGCATTTACTTAGGGGCCAAGTAGAAGGCTAAAAACATTTCTTCCTCACAATAAGCCTACAATCATTATCCCCAATATAGATGAGAGTTAAATAGGGGAAAGAAACTTTACTAAGATCACACATAGTTACTGGTACAAAGTGACAGGGATCCAGGTCCATCTCTAAAGTCAGGGGTTTGCAACTATAGCATTCCATCTGTTTTTGTATGGCCCAAGAGCTAAATGCAGTTTTACGTTTTAAAGGATTATAAAAAGAAAAACAACTACAACAAAGAGTAAAATGCAACACACATGGAAATCTGTGTGGCTAAAGTCAACAATCTTCAGGATCTAGCCCTTTACCGAAAAGAATTTTCCAACCTCTAGTCTAAAGCCTTGTACCTTTAACTATCAAAATCACATTATTTCTGTTTATAAGAAAGAGATATCTGTGATCAATTCCTTATTTTAACATAGTACTCTTTTCATACTTACCAAATCTAAGATGTCATTATTTTCATTATTTCTTCTTATGACTTGTCTATAAATTCCTTGAAGGGAAGGGGCCTATATTTCTTTGTATTTTCTGTGCATAATACATAGTAGACTGAACAGCAAATTTTTTTGAGGATAGTAAAAAAAAAAATCACACACGGTTATACAAAGAAACACCATAAAATATAGAAATTATCTCTCCAACTCGCCTTAAGGGACACTGCAAATGAAATGTAAAAAAAAAAAATGAAAAAAAAAACACCTAATATCTCTAAAACCCAAGAATCCTAGTGAGCAGAGATACTGTACACAAAGGCTTAGAATTTTATTACCTTGCAAATGAAAAATAAGCTTGAACTCATGAATTTTCCTGAGGCACACAACTATCTTTGCTTGCTACCATTGAGATGCATGCACATTCTAGAAGTCTGGATTTACTGGAAAGGGGTGGGGGTGGGAGGTTGCATGGAGAAATGTCTTTTCATGCCAGAGCTTCATCTATCTATCCACAAGTCTCAGAGACAAACGTCAATAAGGTTAACAGTTAAAGACTATTCTAAATGAAGATAATCTTCACACATATACTGCACAGACATGATGGATGTCTGCCCTCATCTCTTTGGCCCATACTCTCATAGTCAGATTAAGACAATCAGCAATACGTAGCATCTTTTCCCCTCATGAGGCCTGAGCATAGCTCAATATGCCTCTGAGTCCATGGTTTGATTTACCCTTCTCGAACTTGACACCAAAAACTAAAAATAAATAAATAATCTCAAAAAGAAAGCACATTGAAACACAAGAACTGAAGCCACTTAACAGTCAGTCAATAACTCCATGCCAAAAGCAAAGTCACCCATACTGCATATGCGTGGTGTTTATTAAACTGCTGCTCAGCTGAACCGTCCTGATGATACTATAGTACACCACACTTCTGGTGGTACCATAACTCTTCCCTGTCCTCAGTTCTGTAGCCTGAATTTTAAGGGTCAAACATAGATATCCTTATCAGATATTACAGGCATAGTACAATAAATCAGGACGTCATCTAAAATGCCCCAAACCTTCTGTAGCCTATTTTACGTTCAAGTTATTTTGCATGGGCTCCACAAGAGTAAGGTTTTCATTTTTAACCTCAAAAGAACAAGAAACAGCAAGAGCTGGGAAATGAGTAAAGGTCGACTCTACTTCCAAAAGAATGCCAGATGCTGGGCAGTAGACATACTACTGCAGCTTCTGTGAGCTTTAAACAGTCTGACACCCTAGAGAAACAGATCGCAATGGTGTCTTCCCCTCCCCCAGCCCCCAGCCCAATTCGAGACACCGCACCCACTCTCTTCTCATGCTCAATCCCAGTCCCGGTCCCGAGCTTCGTAGGCTGAGGAGGGAGAGCCGGGTGCAGAAAAAAGGGGGTGGGGTCGGAGGCGAAAAAGGTACGGAGAGGCAGAGAAAATGGGGGAGGGAGGGCGAGGCCCAGGAGGTAGGGTGTGAGGTAGAGAATCGGGGGGCACAGCAGAAATAAATGGGGCGATGCAAAGAAATGAGGGGGGTGAGGAGCGACAGAAAATGGAATTAGAAGGGGAGCCGAATTTAGGCCGAGCAGGGCCAGGACAGGAGGCGAAGCAGCCAGCGGGCAGAGAAAGGGGCAGTGCCAGGGGGCGGACAGGGGTCGAGGAACTTGCCGTAAATCATAGCCAGGCCGGTTTCGTGCAGGAAGCGGGCCCGGCGGTGCTTGAACAGCCATATCGTGAGAATAGTGAGGGTGAGCAGCAGGATGAAGATGAGCAGGTTGGCGCTGTCCTGCCGGTGGCTCTCTTCGGCTTGCTTCTCGGACACTATCTCCTCGTCCATGGCTCCTGTCGCTCGGCTGGCGCCGTCCGAAGCCCCGGCCCAACCGAAGACGCCCACTGCGAGGAGCAACCAGAGGGGCCTCATGAGCGGGCGGGCCCGGGGCCCGACGCCGACGCGGAGGGGCGCTTGCCGCCAGCCGCGTCGAGCCATGTCTCCCCCCCGCCCCCCGCCCCTCTCCTCACCGGCAGCCGCCCGCGGTCGGACCACTCCCCGAGGGCTCACGGGAAAGGGGCGGGGCCAGAGGGAAGCCGTCGGAGCGCGCCTCGCCGCCTCCTCTCTTAAAGGGGCCGCGGCAATGCCAGCTCGCTCTACTAATTCCTCTACCCCGTGCCAGCTGTGTGACACAGTTGAGCGTAGTCAGGGAATGAAAGGCCGTCGAATCTAGCCCACTGCCTTCTGCTAAGGACACATCTGCTCAGTGTATTCAAGCACAGGCAGATTGTGCTTCTGTCTACTTTGATCCTATTCTTAGAGCCCTCAAGGGAATCGATCTTTCATAACCCATCTCAATATCGTCCCCCAGTGTCTCTTAACAGGATAAGAAGTTGTCCCCTTGGGAGTGACCTCAATCTCCATCACTGTAATTTAAAGCGGATTTCCCTCGTTTTCCTCATTGGGGAAAAAAGACAACACCTTAGTACTTCACAAAAGAAATGACTCAAAGGTGTGGATCCTGCTTGTATATCTGTATATTCAGTTTGCTTTACATGTAAATGATTTATGTAGTCTGTCACATCAGGAACCTATGCAGCGAAATCCATCATTCTTCCAAGATCCAAATCGGCTTGTGCTCAGATTTACCAGGTGCTCAAAAAACACCCTCTCCCTTCCCTTACCAAGGAACAAATATTTGGCGGTGTGGTGAGTGTTTTTTCCTCTCTTCTTGTTACTTGTTTCCTTCTGTCTTAAAGCACTGTCTCCAAGTCAGCAGTCACCTTTGACCCCCATCTGTCGTCTCTCTTGTATTTTCTGTGTGCCTGTCACCCTTGGACATCACAAGTTTCAGTGTTTTCACCTCCATACCTGAGCTTTGTGTTTCACAGCAGTAGATTCCTATTTTTGCCATACTTCTCAGATCACTACTTAGTTTGTATGGGCTCTTTGTTTTCTCAGGACTTTCATTTCCAGGTGAATGAGCTACAAATCTCAAGCCTTGGCCTGCCACCCTCCCTTCAGGCCTCTTCTACCTGTTAGATGCTGAGTGTATCCTGTTGAGGCTCCTACTATCCTTCGAAACTGAAAATATTTTGAAATGGGCTCATTTCTTCCCCTTCTAAACATGTGTCCTTTCTCAAATTTTTCATATCTGCATTGGTGCTACTATTATCTAATTCCAATCATTCTGTGTGGAACTTATGATTCTCAAATGTTTTCATCTTAAGGCCTCCCTGCCAGACAACACTCAGCCTAACTCTAGGCGTCCCAAGTGTGGATTCATCCCCCTAGTCCCACTAACCAGCTCTTTTGGCTCTGTGAGGATGGTGAACTTTAAAAAAAAAAAAAAAAAGCTCCAGGGCTGGGGATGTGGCTCAAGCAGTAGCAGGCTCGCCTGGCATACATTTGGCCTGGGTTCCATCCTCAGCACCACATTCAAACAGAGCCCTTCCTCCACCCTTATCAAGAACCAGCCACTGCTCCAACCTGTTGCCAAGGTAACCTGTCCCAGGAATTACCCCGTCCTACAGGGAGCTATTAAGTTGTTAATTCATGTGTCCTGGGCTGCTCCATCCTGCCCTTGCCCCTTCAGCCCACCTGTTTCCCACCTTTTGGCCAGCCCACCGAGCTTTCCTGAACCTAGTCAATTGCCTAGTCACCTACTCTGGAATAAGAAAGATAAGGGGAAGAGGGCAGGAGAACAAAGGAAGCCTAGGACATATAAAAAGAGCAGAACTCTTTGCTTCTTGGGATACCAGGATACCAGCTATGGCCCCCTTCTCCCTCTAGGGATTGTTTCAGAATGTTAACAGAAAACAGGGTTAACAGATGGGAAAGAGGAATTCGAAGGTTCTAGGTATGGAAACCATATTTAATAGAAGGGAAAATGTGTTTCTGGATAAGAAAGTCTTTTTAAAAATATTTTTAATCGCCAATGAATCTTTATTTTATTTATTTATATGTGGTGCTGACAATTGAACCCAGTACCTCATGCATGCTAAGCAAACACTCTACCACTCAGCCACAACCCCAGCACCTGGATAAGAAAGTCTTTGTGTGATGAAGTAAGTAAGAGGGTTTAAGTAAGTGATAAAGAATTTCTGTGTAAGTTGGAGTTTTTTTTAGAGCAAGTTTTTTAGAGCAAGTTTTTTTTAGAGCAAGTAATCTCCAAATTAAACAACTGTTATTTTATTC